TTTTGCTAAGACTAAAAATGTCCAAGGTCTGATTGGGTGATTTTACATCTTCATACTACCCACAACCAAAAAATATTTGAACGAAAAAAAAACCTGCGGGGAGGTATAAACGCCACTTTCTTTACCGAAAATTCAAAATACAAAATTTTTATCTGAAAATTTCGCTACACATAATTCTCATGATCCTTATAGTGACCTAATTTGTCATAATGAAAACGAATGCTTCTTTCTCGAGATATTGAGTATTTAAGAAATACGCCCATAGCATCATATATCACGAAAATTGACTTCGTTTAAAAATTCACTGTTTCGAAAAAGAAGCATTCGTTTGGATTGTGACATTCAGGTCCCTATAATGGTTATGGGATTTATATACGGTGAAATTCTCAGATTGAAATTTTGTACTTTGAGTTTTTAGTAAATCTCTTGTTATAAATGGTGAACCTAGTAAAATAGTCATAACTCTGAAAGAAAGATCTATTAGGCTTTTTCTAGTCTTACTTATGTGAACAAGAAATCTAGTCAACGGTTTAAAATGAATAAACAATTTTTATTCTATAGAAATGTTTATCCTTTTTGTTCATTTTAAGCTGTTGATTAATTAAGTGGTTAGTAACAAATAAACAGTCAAGTTAACCACTTATGGGTTTCCACTATATAGTATGTAAAATCTGTAAAGTTGAATATCGCATTCTTGTATTTAAATTACTATTAATTAAAAAAGGACATGTTAGCCAATATGATACAATTCGAAAATGTTGGCACGGACATTGAAAGCTCATGCAGATGCGTTCTGTGAGGCATTATTATTCTCTGTTTACATATAAAGTAATTTTGCCGAAGCTTACAACTTATAAAACACCACTGCCAAAATTGCATTTGTTTGACATTCAGTTTCAGATAATGATACACATTTAATGTATAAAGGTCATTACGATCAAATCTAGATTTTTATCTATTATAAAACAAAGAGTGTTTATCTATATAATTTAAAACACAAAACAGAATTGCAACAGATGCAACACTAAAACGTAGAGTAATATTTTATAATTAGTATGTTATAATACCTGATCAGAGAAAATCTTCAGTATGTCTACAGCGAGGTGGAGAAAATTCAACTTTTGGAATGTGGGTTCCACCAGTAGAGGAGAACCATGTTTTACAATTATACAATTTTGGGTATGATTAGAGAAAAAAGTAAGTGTTTCTTTTTGTGAAATTTATTTTATTAAAATCGACCACTAGTTCACTAAAAAGTCTATTTAATCGCTGCAGCTATCCACAGAAGACAAGAAAAATTAAAAGAAAAAAATACAAAAAAAAAAAGATTTATTAATTTTTTCTTTAAAAATTTGCAATATTTGCATCGTTTTTAAAAGCTTGTTTTAAATGCGTTGGTAATTTTGTTAAAATAGCTCGTGCTAAATAATTTTCATTTGTATTTTTATCCGGTTTTGAAATAATAGAATTAAAATCTACAAAATGAAAATTATCATATACAATATTGGAATCAATTATTCCATGTCGAAATTCTTTGTTCTTTTGACTTCTTTTTTTAAATACTAATTCGCGAAGACGATGTTCTTCATACGACATTCTTTGCCAAGGTCCATCACCAACACCAATTACAAGTAGACATATATTAGGTAAATTTGTTAGTGTATAAATCAATTCAACCAATGAATTATCTGCATGAGAAATTTTTAATTCATCAGTTAATATAACTAATATAGTAAAATCTTTTCTACAATGTATACCATATGATATAAATTGTTGTATCAATGGTGTAAAACTAGTTGGACCACTTAATACAACATTTTTTGTTTTTTCTAAATAACTAAAAATAAAATTAATAGTAAATTCAATACACAAATCAAAAAAAAATGTCAATAAAATTTACGCATCAAGAACACGTTGATAACTATTAAATTCTTCACCACTGCCAAGAATTGGAAAAAACGAATAATCTTTTGTTGTTTCATCACCAAATCCAAAACAATGATATTCAACCTTTGAAGTAAATATATCTTCAAATATCAAACCTAATTCACTAATAGCCTAAATTACAAAAAAGATAATATTCTTATAAATAAAAAAAAATTCTTTTCATTTTTACTTTTTGATATGGATTATAAATTTTATTTGAATTTGTTTTATGTAATAATTGTCCATTAAATGTTTTACGACCTTGCCATTCATTACTAGCTGAAAAATCAATACCAAATATAATACGAATACGATTAAAATAAAAATTTGTAAGAAGTTCTGTTTTTATTTCATTAATTGATCTACTAAAAATATAGAGAAAAAAATTCATTTTTTTATTTAGTTTTTATATTTTCATACTTGTTCGTTGATATTGGTATGAATTTAAATTGCGTATTTTCAAGATTTTTAAGAGAATCTAATTCAGCTATTTTGTTTCGAGTATTAGTTTTATAATACTCGTATAAAAGAATATAAATAAAAAAAGCTACTAAAAAGTAAACTAAAGGAAACAACATTTGTCTTCAAATGATGGCAATCAACCGTAAACACGTTTTTTATATTGAAATGGTCGAAGTATTCGACTTATTTCGTCTCGTATATTTTCAACCTAATCAACCGTGACGAAAATAATTTTTTTTTTCGTTTTAATTGATAGAAATAAATAGGAATGATACTTAAACAATATTTTTAATTAATATTGAAAATTGAATATAACCACAATAGAGAAGCTGTCTATAAAGGGCGTCACAAATATTTTTTCATATAATTTCACTATTAATAGACCTTTATCAAGTAAGGTTTGTTATTTTTTTGTATGACAGGTGAGCACACTGAGTTTTTATTTCTACAGACAAAACTTTAAAAGTATTGTTTAAAACTGTTAGTATTAATAAAAATTTAGCCTTTTTGTCTATTTCTAGAAACACACTTATTTAATTATTCGAATCTTTAAATTGTCTACATCTCGAACGATCGTTTTACAGAAAAAATTTATTCTTCTATGCGTGAATAAAAAAAGCCAATCTATTGGTATCAAGTCAAAACTTAATGCAATTTAAACAGAAACCATTCATGAATTTTTCAGTTGATAAAGTCTTGCCAATAGTGAAGTTATTTGCAGGGTGTTGCAAGAATTGGGTAGGGAAGCAATGAATCGATTGCCTACAAAGTGTGAATGTGGGTACATTTGTTCTCTTCATTTAGACCCAGTCCTGGACATAGACTAGATGATTCTTGTTCAGGCGAGACCAGAAGCAACACTTCACAACATAAACGTGCAGAATAGACGAAGTATTAGTGAATTTAAAAAAGTAATAATAAATCTCTAAGAAGGAAAATATTGGAAGTTATGCAAGATGTTTCGATCTTATTGATACTGGTAGAAAATGATATTGCATTTTTCATTAGTACATAGCGTGAAACTAGTACCAAAACTTTTTTTTTGATTAGAACCAAATCAAAACAATTGCTATTCAACGTCATATAGATAATCTTGATGAATGATATTATCACGACTTGATAAATGTAATGGAATATTTACATAGTTTGTCATTTACAGTTACTAAAACGAGTAAATGACACAATTATTTCTTTCTTTTCTTATCTCTTGACTAGGGCATGGCCTATGCTAAAAATAAAAAATCTCGTATTAGCTGAAATTTTGCACATATTTTTCTTTTTGACCTTTCTATAACACGCCGATTGGAAGATTTTTTTTTGTTAAAGTTAAACGAATTTAGCAACGGGGAGAATGAACATTTTTTAGAAATTGGTAAGCAAAAAACGAAAGTTTTCCAATATTGGGGAGGGAATAACTTCTTCCCGCCGAGGCGTAACTAGGAATTTTCTAAGAAGAATGCACACTAGGAGAAAAATAATTTTTTGTTTCGCGAAAAGGTTTTTTTATCTGTACCCCCTTCAGGTATTTTTTGACCAAGGTGGGGTACATAGGTACTCTCTCTCCTGCTCAGGACATCCCTGCCTATTTAAAGTTAAAAAAACAACATCTATCATAAATCTTTGTTTTATTACAATTTTGTACTATTAATGAATGAAAACTAAACAGTATCTTAGAATTACCATATATAAAGCAATAGTTATTCAGTACATAATCTTTATTTAAGTCAAAAAATTAGTATTCTACGATCATATTATTATCTTTTCTTGCCACTTGATCTTTAATAAGATTACAAGAATATAAAATCAACACAATCAAATTTACTTTTTAAAATATCTAACATGTCATATTTTATTTAATATAACAATAGATAGACAAACTCTCATTCATCATAACTTAAAATAGACGTTATCATTTTGACAAGGCAATATTCGTCCTTCGCACATATTTACCATCTATTTCTCAGGCGAATAATCAAGTCAAGTGTTATTTGCATATGATCATCTATGACATATAGAATTTTTTTTACACATATATAAATCTTCTTATCACTGATTACTCAATCTTGAAGAAGTTTTTTTTTTGCTTTCTTTTCACACGGTCGTCATAGTTAATCTGTATTTCTTTTGTCAAAAAAAAAAACAAAACAATTCGCGCCGGAGAAACAGACACCGATCGAAAACAATAATAATAATAATAATAATAATAATAATAAAAACAAAAAAACGTTAGACAAAACAAAAAAAGCTCAATTCTACAATTTTAAAAATCTGATGTATACAAGCATAATCTATATACATGAAAGTAACAATGATGTTTATTTATATATACAAGAATTTATGAAAAAAAATAATAAATACAAAGAAGAATGACATATAACAACATTTTGTTTTTTCCTCTATTTGTCTCAATAATAATAATACTAATTTATATAAAAAAAAAAAAAAAAAAAAACAAATATCGACGATTGTTTATATGGAAAGATGACTAAACAAATAGAAGAAACACAAAACGATATATGTAGTTGATTTTGTATTTGTTTTTTTTTTCAAAAAACTGTTAACATCACTGTTTGTTGCACGCGGGTCTAATTGAATATTCTTGATTTATTTTTTTATTTTTTTAAATATTCTGATTCATCTATATTTTCATCATCCCAACCATTATCTTTAATCATATGTACAAGTTCAATTATAAATTTTCCTTCTTTATATTTTTGACTTGATTCAAAAGCATGTTCCTTGAAAAAGAAAACATAATAATAAATTATTTTTTTTACAAATATAAAAAGAAAAAGCCAAAAGATATTTACATATTTCCAGCCAAGTAATGTTTTGCAGCAATCACAATATACATCAGCTACTTCATGAAGACCCGTAAGCAATACTCGTTCTTCAGCAGCACTTGTATTTACATTAACACTTAAAAAGAAAAGACCAAAAATAGAAAAAAAAACAAGCTCGAATATTTAAACAAAAAATACATACACTGAATTGAATAGATACGCTCGTCCTTGACTACCTTGAAATGACTGAAAACAAAACAAAAAAAAAAAAAATTAATATTATCGATAAATTTAATTTATTTTTATACTTTAGAAATAAGTTCATCATGACTTGCTAATTGAGCTCGACAATGAAGACATGAATAAATTCGATGAGTTTTAGTTGGCAAATAAAATTGAAATAATTTGCCCAATGTTTTTGAACCGCCATGATGATTTTTTTTCACCATTTTTCGGCGAATCTATAATCGACAATAGAAATTAAATAAAAATAATAATTCCATTATTCTATATATATATATAATTAAACATGCATAGAAAAGAAAATAAAAAGAAGAAAAAGACATGTCGATCTATGTGGATCATTAAAAAAAGAAAAAGACGAAGAAGACACGAACATCACGTGTTTTTTTCCTCTATTAATTCCTTCTTCTATATGGTTACATACTGTTCGTCTTGACTTGCATTTTCTTCATTCAGCTTTATAGAACAATGATATAGTCTATCAAGAAAGGAAGTAGAACACTCTTAGGGAATATGAATAACTTCTGACTTATTAACAGAATAGACAACCATGAAAAAAATAAATATATATTTATACAAGGCTATTCTATATCCTTTTCTTCCTGTATTAGTCGTTTTCTTTTTTTTACTAATTCCTTAACCTCATCATGTACATACAAATCGTATCGTTTATATTTTTCTTTTGACTTCGTTTTTTTTTTTCTTTTTCACACATATTTATATTCACTCATGAAAGGTATCATCAATAGTTTGATGACAAGACACAACTACTTATCTATCTGTCTACTCTGTCTCTCCTCCCGCCAAACTATTATAATAAACAACACGAATTTAATGACCCCTACATCTATGTCACAACTGCAAAGATCTAATCGATCACTGAACTCTCATATAAGCAAAAGAAAATGACTAGCAATAAAACTTGATTGAGCGTATCCAATTTGGTCTCTTGCTTTTTTTTTTCTATTAACTACTATTCCTGATCTAGATTTGTACTTATTACGTAATAGAACAAATACAGATGTATGTTCATCAGTATGGCGCATACAAAAATTATTATAAATATATTTGTTGTGTCTCCTTATCCACTCTTTAATCCGATAATGATGAGCAGCTTGCATAACTCTACTGGTAAATTTGACAATGTAATTATAAAAAAAAAAAAAAAAAAAATTTTACAAAAGGTTGCATCTTCATGTTTGTTAATCACTTGTTCATCAACTCATTGAAGGACAATGCCGTCTAGAGATGTTGATCTACATATGCACGACATTTACTCAAAGTTTTGATAAGACAATAAAACAAAACTAAATAAGAATAACTCGATCGACTGGTCAAGCAGGGGGCTAAATATACAAACGTATCACTGACGCGACAAAGATATTTATCTCTTCTTTTTGCTCTCAATGAAACATCATCAACACTCTTGTCAAAGATTGAACAAATGAATCTATATAATTAAACATAAATGTGTAAAAATAACTTACAACCGATAGAAATGTCCAACAGCTTGCCACTCCGATAGTTAAACGAAAGTTTTAATTAATCCAAAAAAAAACAAAACTTCTTTGTAATAATAAATAAAATTCTAGAAAAAATAAATAAAAGACAAATTTAAGGATATATAATGTTTTACTGAAATAATTAAATATTAGTATGAAGTCTTTTATATAAATGTACATATATATATATATAGATTACATCACAAATCAATGATAATTCAAATGATATATGTTCGATGATACAAGTACTACTATATTCTTTTTCTCTTTCTCTTCTATACCTTCTCCGGAGACAATATGACCGCAATCGACAGACAAGTAAATTGATGGACATGAGGCGAGACAAACCTTGATGTGGTTATAATATAAGACTAGTTTTCTTTTTTCTCTGTAGTTTCGACTAGAATTTTTTTTTCTTCTCCGTACGTAAAGTACTAGTAACGAATTAATGTTTCCCTATAGTACAATGATAGCCGTTATGATAAAATATATTCTATCTTTTTATTTCCGGTTCTTGTCATGGGACTTATCGGAAGATGACTTGCATTATGTACTTCTACATAACTAGCTTTTGTCAACGAGTAATATAATGTACATAAATAGGAGTCGTGATTTATGATGAATGAAAAACAGTAGGATTTCCGGGAGAGTTAAAAGAATCTAATGTGTTGCTTTTCTTTCTGTTTTTTTTTTCTTTTCTATGAAAAAAAAGGAGATGTCTAGTAATTCTGATACATATGTTAAAACATATGCCATTGATTCTAATTAACGAAAAGATAAAGACATCGGCAGTCTAGTAGAAGTAAAGACATACAAACAAGTAGGAGAGAGAATGGGATTGACACTATTCTCTATATTGTATGTGTATATTTACATGGCTCTCTTTCCCTCGTTTTGTTCTACTTCTTTTCTTTCGCTTGTCTCTTTCTCTGCATTAGGTCTCGATTTTTTTTCACCTCTTCGAATAACTTTTTTTTCTTTTTTTCATCTCTATGACATAAGGCAAAATAGGAGTCAATGAGGACCGATATATACCGCGGTGTTTTATTATAACTATAACTATGATTATAAGTAGATGTTTCTATTTCTATTCTCTTTTAATAATACAACTATATATAGAAGCATATGCGAATATTGTTATTTAAAGATAATTTCAATAAATCAAGGTCAATATATAACTTTTCTTTTTGTAATGTTAAAAAGCAGCTGTTCAAAAGTAATAATTAAGTCATCGCTGAGAATAAGATGTGTGTTCTGTTGCCAACTCTTCTATTTTTTTTCAAGTACTCTACATAGATTGAATTGACACTAACACCAATGCATTTTTTGATATAGATGAAAATGAAACGATTGAAGTCGTTAAAAAAAATTCGTTTATGAACAAGAACTTAAAATTCAAATCAAGCAGGAGAATAATTACCTTTTTTGTTCGAAATCGTGCTTGTAGTTTGAAAAACTGTATAGATTGACAAATCGATAGACACAAAAAAAAGAAAGAAATTAGGAGTGTGTTGTGTTATTTTCCTCTCTTGCTTGGTATTTTTTTATTTTTCTTAGTTGCCGTCAATATGGTTATTTTTGTTCGAGTTCTTGTTATTATTGTTGATTATGGCCAAATCTTCTTGAGTTGTTGTGTTTCTGTTTCTGTTGTTGAGAAAAGAAAAGGGTTGCTTGAGCATCTGAAACGCAAAAAAAACAACATCCTCCGCCTGACGTTCGTCTCGCAAAAAACTGCGCCACTCACATAGTGAAAAAAAATGCGCCTTACAAACGTACCCCGATCAGCTGCTGCTGCTGCTGCTTTTCTCTATCGTCTTTTCGTCCTGTCTTTTTTTTTCTCGTTTCTTTCTTTCTTTCTTTCTTTCTTTCTTTCTCTTCTCCTTTACATCTTCTACTACGACCCTACTCATGTGATGACGCTCACGCGCAATCGTAACCCTTATTGTTGCGATGTTTTATATGACGATATTGATAGTCAGCTCAAAAAAAGAACCCTAAGAAAAAGAAAAGACTAAAAGAACAAATAAATAAAAAAAAAGTCATCTGTCATGAATATACGCAATTTATTTGAATGAAATATTCTAGGTCTATTACTATTTAAATATCCGTAAAATGAATAGATTTAATGTGTCACAAATGTCTATAATTAACGCGCATGTTGATAAGTAAACTAATAGATGATGGACGTCTCATAACAACTTGAGATATTTAATGCATTGAAAATTAGTCAAGCGACAATAAAACGGTTTCAAAAACATTATTTATACGAAATCAATGATTCTCAATTTAATTTCGTGCCCTTTATACAAATCTAACATAAACACCTATATGTAGGTGACATATATATATTTGTTCACATTGAAATCAAACAGCGAAAGAATATTATGCTGGGACAATAAGCATACCTATATAGTATATATGCAAAATCATGCTTCAGTTCATTTTACATCATCAAATGTATAGCCTTTTGTCTATTGTTGATGTTCGTATTACACGTATATATATATATATATATATATACAATAAATAATTATGTGATGGGACAAAATATATATGTATGTAGATGATGTAATTGACAGCATGTTCTCTATATAATTTTTTTTTCGCATAGATATTATTAGTAAACGAGATAAGATAAAGAAATGTATGCTTTATTTAGACTTTCTTTTTTTATATTGCGAACAAGTTAAAAATGATATATATTACCTGTTAATGAAAAAAAAAATTTCTGAACAATGAGATTAATGTTTATCATAGAAGGCTATGTGATAAAATGTCGTTAAATAAATATACTTCATAATTTATAAGAAAAAAAAAAAGAAAAAAAAAGCAATCATGCATAAAAATTATATGATTCAATCAGAGCGTTGTATCATATAAATGTTATTTTGTTGTCGATCGTATCGTCGTCATTCAAGACTTTTTGGTCGATGTTATTATATAGTTATTTTTTCATGTTTGATTGGACTTAGTTGGTCTATCTTTAGCAATTTTTATTTTAATCGAAATGATAACAATCTTAATGAACAGAAATCACCATTGATTTTCTGTTTTGTACTTAGTGAAAATAATCGTCATTTAACATCATCACGAGCTATTGTATATAGTTGGGGTAAACGATGTGATAGATTTTATTTTATTACACGTCTTCAAAATACTAGTATTGAATTAATGATGTTAGAAAATTTTCAAGTTACATCTGATATAATATCAAATACAATAAATAAAAATACATTCGATGTTCTCTCATATCTTCAAGATGCAGAATTATTTTCATCATATCATTGGTTTTTACGTGCAAGTGATGATTCATTTGTTATTATACCAAATCTTCGACGACTCATTATTCAATTAGATAATAAACAAGAAGAATATCGTCCATTAGCTTATGTTGGTGATGTTGAACAAATGTATGAAAAATATCATATAGCAACAACTGGATCAGTTATGTTATTTAATCGATTAGCAATAAATCGTTTAACTTTAATAGATGATGTCGAAGATAATAAATATGAATCAGACAGACAACGATGCCTAACAAATATGATCTATGATCATGAATTTATTAGATGTATGAAAAAAATTCAAATTACAATAAATCCTATGAATGATAATTTAATACTTTCACAAAATTTATCAACATATAAAATGGATAAACGATTAAAGGTAAAATAGAAATAAGAAAAATAATCTTCTAACATATGCTTACGGCCATACCACGTTGAATACACCAGTTCTCGTCCGATCACTGAAGTTAAGCAACGTCGGGCTCGGTTAGTACTTGGATGGGTGACCGCCTGGGAATACCGAGTGTCGTAAGCTTTTTGTTTTTGTTTTTGTTTTTGCATAATCTTTTTCTTTTTCGATATTATTAAGTCAACTCTTTTTTTTTTATGATAGGATACATGTTGCAGTCCAAATACTGTTGCTTTTCGTGCAAGCAATGAAACAGACATGTATAAATTTGAATTTCTTTATCATAGACTTGATGCATTATCAAAAATAAATAAATAATGATGTTGATTTTTTTTTTTTTATTGTATTTATACGAAAAGAAAATAAAGAACTAGAAGATAAAACACAATAGCAAGATAATTATTGCACTGCTAAATAGTCTATAAATTGTTTTCATTATTTATCATTTGTTTTTTTGTTTGTAGTAATTGGTGGTAATGTTGGTACAGATTGTAATCGAGATGGTATTTTTTGATTGTGTTGATAAATTTTTGAAGGATTATGTAAATTTATATTATATTTTGTAGAAGGTGATGTCGATCGATGAACTGATCGACTTGATGAAGTAATAGACTAAAATATAAGACAATAAATAAATATAAAAGATAAAGAGATTTTCTACTGTACAGGTATATTCTGTGATGATTTTGAATATTGTTGAAGATATCTTTGATAATGTGGATCATAAAAATAAACAGATTGTGTTACTGGAGATGCTTTATACCACTGAGCAGGTTTATTATATTCACGTAAAATTCGTCCATAATCTCTTCCATGTTTTCGTCGAATTTGATCTTGAACAAGTTGTGCATGTAATTTATCGACATAATGCTGTGTATTTTCATTCATATTATTATCCTTTGTTGGTTCTTCAGGTGTATTCATATCTAAAGTTGTTGTCATTACTTTTTTTTTCTGCTTATAAGAAATAAAAAAGTCAAGAATATGTAAACGACAATAGTGACAACTACATCATCTTATAATTGCGGATGTTGCTTTATATGTCTCCCACTCATCGTTTTACAACCCTGATGACGTTAGTAAGAAAAAAAATAGTGAAATAAAATATATGAGAGACAATATAAATGAGGAAGAAAAAGTAAGAAAAAAAAGCCATCTGATAAGAATGAAAAAAAAAACGATAATTTAAGTGTTATATTACTAAAAAACAGATGAAGTTGAGATGATTCAAATAAAACTTAAAATTTGTTATAGAGCAATTATTGTTGACATATACAGACAAATAGAAACTCTTAATATTACTGTTTTTTATCGATTGACAACATGTTCATTCGTAATTTTTTTTTTCCAATGAAAATAAAAAACGTGCGATAAATGAATGGAATTTATCATATAAAGAAAGAAAAATCAACGTTCTACTACTACCTTACTCCTTGTTAAAGATTAAAATGCAATCAATAGACATACACTTGAAAAGAAAAAGTGTTTTTTTTCTTTTTTTTTTTTCGATATGAAAAAAAAGAAAATAATTCTTGTAAAGACCTTTAATAAAAAAATAAGAATGTCAAAATAATCATAACAAGTATGAATAATTTATTAGAAGTAGTACCTTTAACAATATGTATTAGTTATCAATAAATTTCATTGAAATATAAATTCAAGGTGTTTTACTTTCATATGATCGTTGAACACTCGTAGTAAGAATATTTTTCTTTTAAAGAAAATGAGGGGGAAAAAATAATAAATCATTTAATAAGAATGTTTTCTTTGTACATAGTTACAACTTCAATACTTATATTGAGCGTAATGTAGGCAAAGTTGAAATTGATTTCAATATAGATCAGTCTCATATTGATAATGTTTTAAATCAAGTCAATTTTTTCATCTTCACACATTCATCCTTTCTCAACAATAGTTTGTTAATGATTTTATCCAAGAAATTTTTATTATTTTGCAGATGTTAACTAACAACATTTATTCATCGAGTATAAATAAAAAGTAATTGAAGTTTTGAGATAGATAACAGAGCTCCTGACAGAAGAGTAAATATTTTTGTTCTATATTGTTCTGAAGAACACAGCAGGAGATGATAGAACTTTCTGAAAAGCCTTTGTTCTTGATTAATAAAATCACATACATATTGTGCAATCAAATCGTGCATTCTTTTCTCTATGCTTCACTTCAAAGTTTTATTTGATGCGAAAACAATGATTCAGATTTTCTGTAATAATTTTGTCATTTGTAATATGTACGTATACTCATTCAAATGATTTGTACCACTTGAAGAATTATAACTAAATATTCTTTGTTTTTCACAAATATGTCAAATAACATAACCGTGAATTTGTTTCCATTTCTGGAAATCGGAACACTTTTCAAAATACAGTTTTTAAATTTATCGACTCGTTATGAGTTATTTGATAAAATGTTAACCTTATTTTTCAGCAAATACATGATTTTCTTAGAGCAACATGCCTAAGTTGTGGCCAACAATGCACGAACAAAAGGAGTAATTTCACCTGAAGATGAAGCAATTTCCGAAAGAGATATGCTTGAAAACAATAATGAAAAAGTAAATATACTAGCTGAACCTATATTCAGAATAGCATTTTTCTCCATTAGAACAAATGCAAACCTTTACTTCATTCGGATGAAAGTATTATTGTTGAATGTATAATTCAATTGAAATTTTGTAATAGGATTTCTTTTCCACAAAGAATAATCAATACCGTAACCATTCAGGTCTGCTATTTCAACTGAAAATCTACAATTTTTGGCATAATTCGTATTGAACCATCTATCCTGTTCTGTTAAGAGTTCAGATAGATAATATATACGGTACAGTATATTTCCGATTATTTTTAGTGGAATAAATAAACAAAAGTCATCAACTGGAATGAAAATATTTACAAAAGACATTATAAATAATTCTAATCAAGTTTTTATTTTATAAATGAAAGTTCGATAATATTGAACTAGAATTTGATTCATATATTCTATTTTTATCAAGTAACTGTGAAAATCACTAAATAAATAGAATCCTTTTCAATAGTAGAAATAATTATTATCAGTCACGAAGAGAGATTTTATTTATGCTTTTCTCTAAAAACAAAAAAACAATTTCTTTATAATACATTAAACTTTTATTCGAAAGAATAAAAATACGATGATCTCACGCTATCAATATATATTTAAGAGTGTGATTTTATGATTGACCAATTAAACAAAATTACTAGATATCTACCGTAAACGATCACATACGATTTTAAATTATATATTTATTAAAATAATTATAGACTATCAGAATCATATAGCAAACAGTCATTATATTCTTCTTGATTAGACATACGCGGAACCGGAATTAGATTACATTTACTTAAAGCCATAACCGTAATCACCAGAAAAGAAGCTATCGGAACTGGGACCAAAAAAAAACCATAGTTCCGCACATCTATATTCTGGACTTCCGTTTAGCAATTAACGATCTATCTTTTTAATTATTACCTTTTTAGAGATTCATCGATGACTAATTTTAAGTCACTTCCATAAATGATGACATTATATTGAACTAATATTTTTTTTTTATTGTCATTTATCGATTATATCTATTATTTATTTTCAATCTTTTTTTCTCAATATTATTTAATTCTCCTATAAAATCATAAGGAGATTCGTTTTTTTATTCACATTGACACACAAAGAATTTTAAAAAAATATTTCTAATTGTTATACTTAAATTTAAATACAATAAAACAAAAAGGAATATTTATTTATCTATCTTGTTGTCGATGTATGATATAAAATTGATTGAGTAACAATAGGTTTTAATAATATATAAGCATCTGATGCATAAGTTTGTGAACTAGATGATTGAATAAACATTTGATTAAGAAGTTTTTGTTTTAATTTTATATCACATCTATCATTTTCATGATTATGATTATTTGATGTTCCTGGTACATTTGATAATTGTTTCATATGTTTAGCAAATAAATTTGGTATACCAGCAAGCATATTTGAAAAATCTCGTTGTTGTTTTTGATAAATTGCTAATAATTCAATATCAATTGAAAATGATGTTAAACTTTTACAACCCATTAAAAATAATTGAGCGGTTTTATGATAATATTCAATAATTGATTCACATAGAGTAGCTAATGAATTAATGGCTTCATCAAATAATGTCTAAATAAATAAGGGATTAAGTACACAGAAGAATACTTTAGCAAAATCTGGAGATTGGACTGCTTATTTTACAGGACTAGCCATTCAGATGATACTATAGAAAAAAAAATACACTTGATTTGTCTGTCGAATAGTTTTATTTTGTTAGACATCAGTTTTTCTGGTGGCATCACGATTTTCAGGTTAATTTTTGGCAATTGTTATCCGTTTCAAAAGAGAATGGACTGGATTATTTGTGGAATAAATCGACAATGCTAATAGCTATTGAGTTCGGATTTTCACCGTTAGAAGGAGCATGAGTGATGGGTACAAGTCTACCTGAGAATCAAAATATTTGAAAAGTTTTCAAGGGATTCTTTGAAAAATCACTGTCTGATTCGCTTGATTAGCTATATTTTCAACTTCAATTTAGCCATATTGTAGCCCAATCTCTACTTTATAAATTCCAAAATTTTTAGACATTTTCGATCTTTCCTTAAAAATTTATGACCATTTTTACTGAATTTTCAGCTCTTTCCTAGGTATAAAAAATACACCTAATCAAGTGAATCATACAGTCATTTTCTAAAAAAATTCTAGAAAGCTTTTCAAGTATTTTAATTCTCAGGTAGACTTATACCTTCACTCATGTTCTTTCTCTAATGGCGAAAACCTGAGCTCGATAGCTATCAGCATTACCAAGTTATTCAACAAACAACTGAGTTCATTCTTTTTTGAAATGGATAATAGTCTTTCAATTTTTTTTTATGGTTGTAACAAAGTTATGTATCCCATTATATAGAGTATATTTTCCTATATTTAAATATTGAAAAAGTACGATTTTCATTTCTAGTCAAATACTCGCCTACATGGACACAGTGTCTCCCCTACATACCGCGAGAAAAGCTTGTCAGAGACTATGATAGACCGTGACAGACACCAATTAAAGATCATCATAGACTGTGACAGAAGCTTGTCAGAGACAATCGTAAATCGCATCAAGCGCCAATCAAAAATCATCATACATCGTGACAGACGTTGGTATACAATTAAAGACCGTGTATCAATAATGTCTTATTATAGTATATAGGTTACTCTCAGATTGCATTCCCGGAGGACTATGTAAAAAGAATGGCGTGAAATATGTCCCAAAATAGATAGAATTAATTAATCCTTTCTGTGATTAGCAATAGCAACTATGTCGTGTTTCACATTTTAATCCTAAGGAGATTGTGCTAATAGGTTTTTTAATAGAAATAGAATTTTTCGTATTTTTTTTTCCTTACTTTTTGATCAAGTTCTGTATCCATCCATTCCCATTCTTTAATAAGTTGATTAGCTGATTCATAAACTTCAAGTAATTTATCAACTGATACTGTTGAACGTAATTGTGTTTGATATGCAGTAAATTTTTGTGATAAAATATCTAAAGTTGGTATATCATGTTCATAATTATCATTTACTGTTAAAGAATTTAATGTTAATTCATCATCATCATCATTTATTTGAAAATATGTTGAAATTTCATCAAATAATTTTTCATTTCCATAATTCATACTTTGTAGAATCGTTGCAGATTGATTTGATAATAATTCAAGTGCTTCAAACTGAGCAAGACCTAAGATAATAAAAAGAAAATTAAAAGAAAAAAATATTTTAATGTATTTAACCTTGATGTTTTTCAAATAAATGAAAAAATGATACAGGTTCATTTTTTGTTGATGTTGATTTTATTTCTTTTTCATATTGTGCTTCACGAATTATCTATTAAACATAACACAAAAAAAAAAATTTCATAAAAAAAGAAATGAAATTGAAAAAAAAAACAAACTTCGGATAATGTTGGACGATTTTGTTTACTTAATAAACGTCGTGTTCCTTTTAAATCTGGATCAGCTTCATTAATTACCTTTTAATACATTAATGATATTTATAGATCGAAAGAAAAAAAAACAAAGATTTTATTATTTATACATACATCAAATGTTTTTTTACCAACTGTTTCAAGAACATCAAGACTTCCTGAGACAACTTTCATACCCTATTAAAAAAAAATATAATATGTAATTCTTGATTGTGAAGAAAATTTCAAATAGAAATCCTCTTGAATTGTTATTTTTCAATAAACAAAAAAAAACAAATCAACTATCATTGATTCATTACATGTTAGAATTATATTTGTACAACAATAAAAAAAAAATCTTAATTCAAACGATTCAAGCTCTGTAACACACTGCATCTTCAAATAAAAAGAAACCAACAATTGGCTACAATGAAGCTCATTCGAGAATTCTGGGATGCACAATCAGAGAAACATAAATCGAGACAAAAAAATATCTTTCTTAAAGAGAAGCTGATGGAATTTATCAATAATTTTTAGAAAAATTGACGTATCGAGTAAAAATACCATATTGTTTGCGAAAGATACGATTTCAAGTTATCCTCCTATGCATTTATCTTAATTTCGATAATTCTGACAGAAATGAACTCTTTTTGTAAGGGACCTTAAAACAACAACTTTAGTTTATTTTCGAAAGTATACAAAAAAAAACCGAAATTCTGTTTTGCTACATTACTAGCATATGACTACCATTGTAAAATCTATAATGGAATCCATTGGATTTATTCCGAGCCTAAAGTCGCTAGCAACTGTTTCACTTCGAATCAAATTTTTTAGAAGAGCATATCATGATTATCAGTGTTTCAGTTATATAGGTGTAAAACTCTATCATAAATTTTCATTAGGAACTACTTTTTATATATGATTAATACCCGCGGCAGAACTATAGGAAGGATAGATGTAATCTCAAATATGTCGACAATGGCAACAACTAATAACCTGCATTATCATCTTCGTAAAGCATTCTCAGGGAAATTTTGGTTTGCTAAAAATCAATAGAATTCTACTGAATATCTGCATGATTTTGTTTATTCAACATTGAAATGTGAGAAGATAATCATCTGACACACGTTTTGAACTATTGATCTAAAATACATGTCAAAATCAAATTTACTTCGAAATAGAACATCATTTTCATGCATTTTTCTTCTAATATTTTGAGAAGATGATGCGTTTCAAAATAATTTTGTCTTATACAGTAAAAAAGACAATCGCGGAGTTCTCCTCTTTCGATTGTTGAAAACTGAAGGTTACTAGTTGTTGTCGAGTTATTGAGCTTACACCTATCCTTTTTAATTCTAGTGCGAACATTAGAACTGAGATTGAAAATTCATTCTGTTTTGATAAGTAAAGGTAGTTTTTTTTTTAAAGTTTATTCACGTACAGTAGTTGTTAGTTTTTCTAAACTTAATGCATTAAGCCAACCATCTTGATTAGTAATTGAATCATCTTTTTCTGTTTGAATATTTGATGATTCAGGTTCTAAAAAAATCAAAAATTCAATGGGAAATTTTTTTTTTTCTTCTTCTTCTTCTAACAAACCATCTTCACTATCTGATGTTTCGCCTTTTATTTTAAATGCCATTCGATTCATTTCTGCTAATTCTTGAGGATCAGGTGCACCAAGACCAGCTTCAACAGATTCAATAACTGCACTAAAACCTTCACCTATATAAATCATAAATATGAATTTAAAAAATTCCAAAAAGAAAAGGAAAATTATAATGATACATACTAACAGTACTTGTCAATGTTGAAACACTTTGTTTTGCTGTCGATAAAAATGAACCAAAATTACTCCATGGATTATGCCAACTTGGCTAAAAAGAAAAAGTAATTATTCTATCGATTAAAACTATGCAATAGAATTATTAAATATACTGTTCGTGTTGGTGATTGAACAGCAAGTCGATCTAATACATAATGAGCATCTTTAACATTATGTTTTGTTATTGTTGTTGATGATGATTCTTCATCACGACGTTCAATTGGACGAGAGATTCGTGTATTTATTTTCGTATATTCATCTTTAATGAAATTTGATTCAAGTGGTTTTTTACGAAATTTTTTTTTCTGTAATCGTTGTTGATCAGATAATTCTGTTTGTTCATCTTCATCAGATTCATTTTGAGATAAACTACCACCTGTTTTAGATGGTGATGATGATAAAGATGATGTTGAATCTTGTTGTAAAAGAGTTGTATATGTTGGTTTTATGGATTTTTCTATAGGTAGTTCATCATTTATATTCCAATCATCCCAACCATCATTTACTGGTGGAAGAGATGGTTTTTCTAATGAATTTTCATTTATAGATGATGTATTCGGATGATTGGATTTGACAATAGGCATTGATATTGATTCACCTTCGTCTGCACTTTCAAATTCATCTTCACTATCGTCTTGTATAACAGTAGTCGACATTTAGAAAATGTAAATATCTAAAAAAAAAAAAGAATCTTGCAGCTTATATTGTGAAGGCGAACACATAGACAAGACAAAATAAATGTTAATAGTTTTTATGATAGATAAATCAATCGTTTATTTCCATCATCACGAGTTTTTGCTTTTTTTTTAACCTATAAGAAATGATTCGATGACCTCGTTGAATAATTGTCGTTTCATCTTGTCTGAAATAGAGTGACATCTTTCGTTTGTAGAAGAAGATAATAATCTTGAATATGCTAATATTTAGACACTTTCTTTTCCTCGATGTTTAAAGAAAGATATTAATGCAAATTAAACTATGTAGGTTAAATAAAATATGAATTAAACATTTATATATGAGATACAATAGAAATTTAAAAGAAATTCGATCTTGAAAATGTTGATTTTGATCGATCAAAGTAAATTATATTAAATATAGTAACTTCAGTTTAACGACGTAGAATTCATCTGCGTATCGTATACATATTGTACGCCATCTTTGTTTTTAATATTGGTTGGCGCTTATAATGAACAAAAGTCTTTTTTATAAGAAAGAAAGAAAAAAAACACAACAGACGTAATTTCGGTTTTTTTCAAGAGGTACATCATTTTTGTTTTATTCAAGTTTTCTCGTTTAGAGCACTGATTTGAAACTCTGAAGATATGAATAGATATAATAAAGCAAATAGAGATGCTCTTTCGTCATAATTATGTTGCACAACAATGATGAAAAATTAAAAAAGTATATTGAACTAATAATAATGATTTTAAAAATCTACACATTTGATCTCTGAGTTGTGCTAAATGAATAGATAAGAAATAAAAGTTTTATCTTAGATTTTTTAAATGAACAATTCAGAAAAGTTAAAATATATCTTCATTTGAGATGAATTCTTTATCATGATTGATATCTCTACATAAGTCAAATATAAAACAAATTTTCGATAAAATTAAATATTAAAAGTACTACATATAATAAAAATTTATCAGAAATTCCATTATATGTGTATAATTAACTCCGAATACATTTTTCTTGACATCTGCATTCAATTTTTCTTAGTGATAGAGAATCGGAATGATTTGAAGATAACAAAAAATCAATGAAAAATTAGTCAAGAATTTTCGTGCACCAGTGTATTACAAATTTCATGGATTTTTGATACAATATCTATTGATTTTCAATTAGCACAATATCCAATTTATTTCCTCGTAACCCATTTATGCTATATATAATAAAACTTGCATTAAACAAATCGTTCTACTTGGTATAATATGGGAACATGATTTGTTGCTAAATTTGACATTTCGACTAATTCGAAGATTTTATAACCTCATAAATGATGAGTTCAGTTTAGGTCTTGGAGTGATTATTCAAAGAAACTAATTTTGAAACTGGATATAAACTACAGCAACATAATAACAAAACATTAAAAAAAATATCATAAATGTTATGCTTCATTTTTAAAACAAATCAATCATGATAGTTTCATTTAGTTTTTTCTTAAAGAGACCCTCCTTAGAAAACTCAATTTTTCGAAAAAATGTCGAAACTCAGCTTTTGTCATAGGAAGATGTACTGCAGCTTCCTCTTCCAGAATATATATGCCTTTTCACAAAACGACTAAAGTTTCACAGACTTATCACAAACAACTTCGACACTACTGTTAGGTTTTCGAAGAAATTTTCATGGTTTTTTAAAGTTTTTCTGCTTTGGAAAAACTGCGTTACCATTTGTATTATCATTGAATAGAACATTTTTATATTAACCAGCATGTCAAATGGCGTTAGCTACCTTCATTTATTACGTACTCTAAAATGGTCCACTGGAATATATTAAAAATATACCATTGTAATATGATTTGTTCTGGAATTGAATGACAAAATCCATTTCTAGAACTTCTTTGACGTTTTTCTCAAAACATGATTTTCAGGCAGGAAAATTGCAATAACTTTCACCAGATTCAAGGTATAACCGATGTTTTCCTTTTTGTTTTAAAGGTCTGAATGAAAGCTAACTTTTGATCGGACGGATCTTGGATACTTGATTTTTGAATTGAGAAAAGTGAAATTCACTGTCGAGCGAGTCACCTTTTTTATGCTTATTTTGAACATTATGTCCACTAAAATGCTCATAAAAAATGAATTGAAGGTAGTTTCAAAATTCTGTTCGATGGAAAGCTGAACCAATCATTTCTGAAAGTTTCAATCCAGATGGTCCGTTCTAAGTGGTAAATCAATTTTAAGGATGTCCCTTAAAAATAATCGAGAACATGGAAGCAAAAAACACTTTTTGTATTCTACCCTGAGATCTATTGCTTCTTTTCATTATAAAAATTCCTAACAGCAATAACAACCTTCTAGCTATACTTTCACCGACTTCCTATGATAGTGAACTGTCAATTGACTAGAAAAAACCTAATGAAATATGAAATCGCCATGAATTTTCAACCAGCAATGTGTATCATTTTGTTGCTATGTGCAAATCTATTTACGGCAACATAAGAAGAAGGAGAGTAAAAACTTCCAGATATAAAAAGAAAGTGAAATGTGATATGATGTATGAAATAATGTTACAATCTTTTTTATAGCCATTCATTATTTCATGACATTACAGACAAAGCAGATTTAAAAAAAAATAAAACACGTAAATGAAACGAAAATAAAAAAAAGAACTTGGACGACAGCAACAATCGAAAACAAATAGAAACATCTAGAAACATGTTCCAAGATACTCTATAAATTCAAGTCATTTTATTGTATCTTTTTTCATTGATAAAACACCGCGTATACAATGGGCAAAAAGAGAAAGTCAACAGCAACATTTGCTGTTATCAAGCCATCTGAACATACCGATGTAAGACTACGACGGTCTCCTTATATTGGTATGGCTCAGAACTTCGTCCTAGTGTGGCTCAATGCTAATATCAATGAGATGAACAACAACAACAACAACTCTATGAAGTCCATCAACAAATTAAAAGAAGTGGTCAACAAGATATATTCATTCACAGATGTGAATGAATACATCGATTTTATAACCGATAGTTCAACGAGAGAAAATATTTATGATCTTTTCTGGTTTCTTCAGCCAAACAATTGTTTACATCGTCCATGATATTCCACAAATCGATACTTTATATATTTTCAATGAGAACTAAGCTTGGCATAAAGGTTGGCCCAAACAATGGTCAAAAATAAAAGGAGTATTTACACATATGGCTTCTATCTGTAAAGCTCTTCAACAAGCGGCACAAGAATGTGACAAAAACTTGATCTCGATGAGTTCTATGACAACCATTAGTGGAAGCAGCAACCTAAATCTCGATCAACTGGATTCATCGTTAATGTACATATAAATAATGAAAGAAATTTTATTAACCATTGATTTCAACTAACAACATATCGATGAATTTACTACTTATTGTCATTAACTATTTGCCGAGAATTCGAGAGAACGACAAAATGTTCAAAAAATTGAGCGAGAATATCACGAAAATACTCCAATATGTTGGTATACGTACCACTGTTTTCTTTATTCAATGCTGAACCGTTGTTACGCATGATGGAAGTCGGTCTCATTATAAAGATGGGATTGTTTATTCGTGATTTGCACAACAACATCGCCGAGCTTCATGATCACCAGTTTGCTTGAAATACATCTATGAATTCATTTACTGTTTATTGTGGTCAAGGATTGTCGTATACACATTTTGATCAAATGGCTAACACCAAAGGTAGACTATTATCATTTAATAACTTTTTGTCGACAAGTCTTGAGCGAGAAGTGTCTCTTTCGTTTGCTGAGAATAATCAAAATGATACCGATCTGATAGATGTTTTCTTTGAAATAATTATCAAACCATCGACATCAACTACTGTTTTCTCAAACGTTCAAGATGCCAGTTATTTCAAAGGAGAAGAAGAAATACTCTTCATGAACAATAGCAAATATATAAAATCCATGAATTAGATATTAGAACAATAAACGAGTATTCTATAATTAGTTCAACAAAGATTATTATCGTGTCATCTCTAAAAGTACAATTTCGTACAACTGTTTCCATATAAAGATCACATTCAATTGTTAGTATTCAGTTTTCAAAACGAACAGATAAAAATAAAATTTTATCATTAATAGTCTGATCAACATCAAGAACTTTCTGGCTTCGATCATCTGATTAGTCGAAACGTAACTCTTCCAATTTACAACGGCAAAAAAAAGAAGCCCTGACTCCAGTATAGCATGGTGATCTTTTGAACAAAAAGAGTTTCATATGAAATCGTCCAAGCGATAGTTCATTTATTTTTAGGAATTATCGATTTATCAGTCAATCGTCACTGGAGGCATCGTACCGCATTTTGCAGCCCAGTGTAACCCGAATGTCATCTAGGCTTATTTATTAATTGAATTGTTTCTTTGTTTGAATGGCAAATGGATGTGGTAAAAAAATTTTTGAATAGACAACAAAGTGTATTATACATCGTTTGTTTAGTTTTTGATTAAGATTAACATTGAGATGATAATGTTCAATGTATAGTTTAAAAGAAAACTTGAATAATTATATGCTAATAAACATTTATTAATACAATGACATCTTCGTTCTGAGATGTTTGTTAGTTTCAATAAATACTAATTTGAGAATGATATTCAAAAACGATGATTCTCCACTCCAAAAAGTCAATTTTCGTCAAAAAAAAATGATTTTTGAAATCTTTTTTATGCTAATGATCAAATTCCAAACAAACTCCATTCAAATACAGTTCATTATAGAGAGGCTGCGTTCGTTTTTGGTTATTGGGGCACTTGATGCTCCTTCGAATGAGAGGAAGGAATTTATTATATAGGCTGGGATTCTGTAGAAAACTTCTGATGGTCTTTCACTATTTTAGATACTTTAATGTCCGTAAAAATTTCAGAAGGCAGCAATAAAAAATCCTTTCTCCTCATCTGAAAGAGTAAACAATTATCTTTCAAATAAAATAATTCTCAAATCTATACCTTGAAGTGTAGTGTAAAAATATTTATACGAGGCGAGAGTCTATTTGAGGTCTTGATATATAGTAAAATTCTAAGTGCTGAGGTTTAGAGAGATAAAAAAAATCCTAGGTTTACTTTTTTTTTATCTAATATTTTGTAAAAAATCGATTTAGAAGGTGAGAGGCATTAAGATAGTATCAACTTTTCAAAGCTCTCTTCGATGGTTCCCACTCTTTAGATATTCGATTAACATTCCTTTTATGCATATAGTGAGTCGTTGTATTGACATTCTAAATTTTCCTTAACACTTAGAAACTTTTCTTTTCATATTTATTAGTAAAAATCAAACAAATAATCCAGTTATTTCAATATTAATTTGATGAATCCATCTTAAATAATGTCATTTTTCATTTGTTTGTGTTACCGGTAAAATAATACGGCATTTGATACAAAGCAAACAACAACAAAAAAAAAACAGAAAACAGAAGACAACTATAAATAAAAAGTATTGAAGCCAGATATAAATATTCGTAAGGATTCTATGCAAAAACTAAATAGAAAATATGGAAGAAACAACAATACATATTGAATGGGTCTTTTATGTCTATAATCATACAGACTTTTGTTAAATCGATATAATCACTGTTTGATATGACTATCTGAGGGTTAAACATATAAATAAAACAAAAAAAAACAGAAAACAATCACAATCTAATGTCGCTATTGGTTCTATCTACACTAGTTCTTCCACTTTCTTGTTCACCATTTGATATTGATGATTCCATTGGTTCAATAACAATAGTTGGTAATTGTGAATTATTTGTATTTACTAAAGCTCGATCTTCATCAGAACTTCGAAAACTTAAACCTAATTTACCAATTCTAAAACAATAAAAAAAACACACAGGATAAATAATTATATGAATTTAATATTAAATAATAAACCTTTTTTTAATTCCTGAACTTCGTGATGATTTATCATTGTTTGATGGTTTTTTTTCTGATGCTATTACTTCTTTATCTTTTGATTTAGCTATAGATTTCCATAGAAATGTTTTACCAACTTCTTCAGAAAAATTCATAACATTTGCTAATTGATTATTCTTAAAAAATATAGTATGACAAAAGAAGAATTAAATTTCAATAATTAATACATACTTGAACAGTTTGTGTTGGAACTTTCGATATTGTACTATCGTCAATACGAGGTTTTCCACTATCAAATGCTATTATTTCATTTGTCTAAAATATTCCTTTTTTTTTTATTGAAATGTCATCCAGGAATAGAGTTTCGAAAAACTTTTTCAATTTTTAAGTAGAACTCATCGGAACCGATGAATTCTACTTTTAAAAGAAATTTGATCATTAGATTTTCTCTGATAACAAACGTCTAACAAGATAATAAAAGCAAGATTCTAAACTAACCTTATTTATAATATCAATATTATCTGGTAGAATACTATTTCTTCTTTCTTCAATTTCTTTTTTAACAACTTCTGGCATAACATCATCTAAATATTCAAGTTCACGTCGTGTAAATATATAATCCATTGCTTTTCTTGCTCCAACAAGAGCTAAAACCATAATAGGAAATAATATTGATATACTTTTTATTGATTTTATAATCCATAATAACGTTAAACAACTTAATTGAATTAATGTAAACATATGTACACGACGTGTTCGAACATATCGAAGATAAACATAATCTGGTTGATATTTTTCAGGCATAAATATTAATAATATTCGAGAAATTAATTGAATTTCTTTCATAGATGATATACCCATATAAAGAAAAACACCATAAAGTACAGGCATTGGTATAAGACCCAAAAATTTTGTTAAAAATACAGATAGACCAATAAATAGAAATACAACAAAACCAGTTACACGTTGTTCTCTAACACCTAAAAATTTTGGTTTTTCTCCTGGTGCTGCTGTTTCTGATTCAAGTTTAAGTGCAATAACATGGTTAATTGAAAGTACTGTTGCAGCAACAAACCATGGAAGACCAAGTACAGAATTAAGTGCAATACAAAATAATACAATTAATAAATCAAGATGATAACCTAAACCTTTCTATAACAAAAAAAAAAGAAAATTTCATTTTTATTTTTTGAATTTTAAAAATTAATATCCTATTCAATTACTTTAAGTTTATTTTCTTTTCTATTTATAATAACAGCTGTTATTTGTTGATCCATAAAAATAAGTATTGTTGCTAATAATGCAGGTAAAATTGCAGCAAACCACATATACATAGGATTGCTTCCAAATGGATTTATAATCCATCCACGATTTTCTTTTGTTGTTGCAAATTTTCTTGGTACACTTAATTTTGGTGTATCAAGACCAATAAGATAATCAATTAAAACATTAATAAATATTGCTAAAACAACACCAAAATCGCTTACTTTTGAACGAATCTAAATTTAATAACAAAAAAAAAAAAAGAAAATTCGAATTTTTAAAATAAATTTAATACGTACATTCATTGGTAAAAATCGACTAAATTTAAAATTTTTTAATGTATATGCTAAAACAAATGTTGATACAAAAAGAATAATTGAAAAGAAAAATACATCAGGAATATAAGTTTTATCATTTAAATTTTTACAATCTATACCAATAAATTGATATGATTGAGTTTTATAACAATCCTAAATATACAAAAAAATAATTCATTTTAATATAAAAATATATTTTATTATTTTATTTATACATTTATTGTCATAGAAAAATTCCAATTTCTTGTTTTATTCGATATTAAACATGAACAATTTGATGGTAAAATTTTATTTGTATGTAATCGAACAGCTCGATGACGATTGATTTCAATCATTTTATCAAATGCTTCATAGATAAAAATAATACCAATAAGAGCAGCAAAACTTTCCTCTACAAAATAAAAGTATTTTGAATTAAAATTAAATCTATCAACAAGTCTTAATTTTCAAGAATAATTCAATTGAAATCTTTTATTTATTAGATTTTGATTAGCCAATGTCAAAATAGAAATTTTTTTTCCTTTACGGACATATTCTCTTTATGTTGATTGAAGAGATATACATATATGTCAGCATAAGTCGTTTACAACTAAATCAACACAAAATGTCACATCAACGTACTGCTAAAAATAATAAAGTATTCGATTCTTTGGTATTATACATCAAAAAAAGAAAATTGTTAGCATAATGCCTATAGGATTAAAATGCGAAACATGATGTAGTTGCCGCTGTTAATCACGGGAAGATTATTTTATTCTATCTATTTTGAGACACATTTCTTCATCATCATTTTTATTTTATCCTCCAAGAAAATAATAAGAAAGTAGTGCATATAGTATAATGAGATATTATTTATATATACAATCTTCTATGGCATATTAATAATGTCTGTCACGATCTATGGCATGGGAGCAATGGGGGATGTTGTTAAGTTGTCTGTCAATGATACAAATTTCTGCCCTATATACTTCATATTCCTTTTAGATTGTATTCCATATCAATCATAGGCAATAAAGGATAACACTAAGCTTCTTTTTCGGTCTCATAATTATGAAATTTACAGAATTGTTCCGCCCGCGAAGGACAAAGGTTGTTCTTATCTCTTAGAAAATATTTGTGTTTTTAATCTAAGTAAAGTTGAAAATTTTCCTTGTGTTCTATTATATTGAAAATATGTTATCTCTTTGTTTAATATTAACTACTTCGAGTCAATAGTGAAAATTCACGAAAAACAAAAATAACGTTTTTCTTTTTAATTTCAAATAAACGAACCAGTAAATCGTGTTATATATTTCACAAGATAACTTGCATCAGTAACAACCATAATTAATAGAATAAGTGCTGTCCATAAACCAATCCAACAACGAAAATTCATATAATCATATCCATAATTACTACAAAATAAATATTTCTTAATCAAAAAAAAATTTTTTTCTTCAATAAAATAAATTTCTTTACGTGCAAAAATGATTAACAATAGTTTCAAAAACTAGTACAGGACCAGTACTACCTAAAATTGTTAATGGTTGACCAGCAAATAAATGATATAAACAACCACAAATTGCACCTGATAGAAGACTTTCAATTGCAGCCTTAAAATATTAATAAATAAAAAGAAAAATGATAATGCTTTCTTGATGATTTTTTTATTATTCATTATAATACCATATTATTATCAGTTGCTGTACTTAAAAGACCACCAAATGTAATTATTGGTGACAAACAAGCAAAATAGAGAAATATTATTGCCGCAACAGATTGAAATGATATAGCATCAGTAAAATCTGACCAATAAAATTTTGATTTACGTTTTATATCATTAATAAGACCTCCACAAAATCTAATAAAAAAACAACAAAAACAAAAATTTGATTTAAACAGATTAATCATTTTGCATACCTTCCTGTTCTTGTTAATGATGGATCTAATTCATGTTCATGATGTTCCGGTTCAGCTGTTTGTGGTATACCATTTATTTTATTTCTATCAAGTCGATCTTCCTATAATATTCAATAATTTCAATTTTATAATTGAATCAATATAACGGAATTGCCCTCTCCATATTTTTAAAATTTTTTTTTGTATTATTCACTTAATTGAAATACATTCTTTTCTAGATATCAAAAAACAGCACACTTCAAATTCTGTATAAAATGATACACTTTATTTAATAAATAAAGTTTTCTTCAAGTTTTTTCGATCAAACATAATCGTAAAATAAAATTGAGTACAGACTAGAGCCCATCGGGTTCAGGGGATCAACCCGACGGGTTTCAGTATAGACTGTAAATTTTCTTTTTGACAGAAAATTGTATCAGTATTGTCTTTGTTGTTGTTGTGTAATCTGATTAGATATCATTTAGATGAATTTATTGGTGCATAGTTCTTCGGAATAATAGTCAACATACCATGTTTGACTATGATGTTGGACCGTTCCGCTCATACGTTCAATGGTTCCCTAGCATTTTGTTATCACATTTAAGTGCAGTTGGAAGTGTCTTTGATGTATCTTTCCGCATTCATTGCTTTGTCTTTCTAAATCATTGGCATTATTAACTTTCGATCATATATATTTAATCACGCTATCACTTTTTAGTAGAAATTTTGTTGTCTCATAAACACTACGTAACTTTTCATCACTAGAAAGCTAATTTTTGATATCATCTTCAGTTGAATTGTGTTGTAACACCCAAATTTGCAAACTTAATCTTCTTGTGTTTTTGGTTGTTTGATTTTCTTGTATAGAAAGATCTTTATGCAGTATCCATTATTCTTGAAATATTCATTTCCGCAGTCAATCATCTTCTTGACATCCGTCTCTTGTGAGCTCGACATCATATAGCCTTTGAGATTTTGGCTTTCGTTCGAGCCATACGTAGACGACTGGGAGAATGTGACAAAGTGATAGCGCTAATAGTGTTGACTATTTGAATCTACAATTTAATTGTTCGTAATAAACTTATTCCATCAAAATCATTCTAAATTTTTATTGATCCATCTGCCACTTTCATATTTACAGCGGTTTTCATATCTTTTATTTTCATCTTTCTCAAATATGCCTAAAATAAGTTTCGAATCCAATCATATATATATATATATATATCTTTGTAGAGAATTTTCAAGCGTTATCTTTTAATAAAGGAAAGTGCTTCAATCAAGAAGATAATATTTCAATAAAAATATGAAGTGGGCAATTCTTTTATGGGTCATCTGATATTTTTATCTTACTTTATTTGGTACACTTTTAGGTGGTTCAATACGTGTTGTAGGATCCCATTCACCCGGTGGTAAAACTGTAACATGATCAAGAAAATCATCAATTCCTATAGATATATAGAATCATTTTTAATAATATCTTTCTTTTTTTCTTCAAATAATTTCACCTGCAAGTAAATCTTGTCGATTTCGAGCTCGATAAGCAACATCATGAAAAATCTATTGAAATAAACTAAATTGTTTGAATTTTTTTTGTTTTTTATATTTTCAAATATATACTTCATCAGACATTAATGTTGCTATAGAACGTCCTATTTCATGATAACGATAATGTTCACTAGATGGTCCAATTAAAACAAAAAGAAAACGTGTTGGTAATGGTACTTCAATAAGATCTGGTATTGTAACACCTTTTGATAGACGAACAAATGCATAGACAGGTGTTTGAAGAAAATCTACAGCGCCAACTAAAACATTTGTTGCTTCAGCATTTGGTGGAACTTTTTTCATAAATGATAAATTAATCTATAAAATCAGAACCAAGAAAAAAAAAATAAACATAAGATTATATCATTTTTTTTTCTTACTTTAACACGTGATTCATTTGCTGAAAAACTAGTTCCTAATTCATCATTTTCACCCATACGAATTTTTGATTGATCCCCAACACTAACTAAATAAATAAGTATGCTATTAGATTTGAAAAATAAAATGATTAGAATACTTTTCTATCTATTGAATATATGAGCAAAATTATTCGTTAGTAACATGACATGTGTATCTCGTAGAGATGAGTTATCAGTAAAAAAAACTACTATTAGCAATAGGATACAAAACAAAAGATATTTGACTTTTATTTCATGAATTTTAATTATAAAAAACCATCTCCGAATTGAAGCAAAAATAGATAGTACATTCTGTGAACAACTCCTTAGATTACAAAATCTCTATTCAAAGTTTTAACCTAGATTTTCAAAACAAAAAAAAAACAAAATCGATTTACTTTTTGTTACTGACATGACAAAGTACGAATTAAAATCTGAATAAAATAACTATTTATTTTAGTAAACAATTTACAGGTCAAAGCACTTTAATTTATTCAGTCATATGTGTATGACCACCTTGTTTTGAATAACATATTATTGAACAAAAAAAAAACTGCTATTTTTTAAGTAGGTAGTGCGTCATAAGAGGAAATCCTCATGCGTCATATCCATCCTTAGTATATCATTATAAAAATGTTAATTTTATAACATCTTTTTCTTTCTAATTCTTTATAATAAAGCGATTCATCATGTTCTATCTGAACGGTTGTTTGTATACGGTTCGAACATTTTTTTAATTAAATTTTGAAAAGTAGATTAGTATACTAAACTTGCTTTTAGACATAAATAAATAAAAATATACGTAAAAGGAAATGTTCCGGAAAATTATCTCTTCTTACTATCATTAAATATTTCTTTATTTATTATAGTCTTACGTCTATTGGTTAATGTTAGATTATGATTGAGTGTTCCAGGAGGTGTTGTTGATGGCATTTGATCAACACTTGACATAGTAACATCTTTTTGTGAACGAATTCGTGTTAATTCAGCTAATGAACGTGTAAATGGTAATGGTTTTCTAATTTCTTGTGTATGTAAATGTCGATGAAATTCTTTTTCATGCTTTAATTAAAAACGACATACACAAAAATAGTTTCATTTTTATTCAAAAAAAAAATCCAAACCTGATGTATATGTTTAAGTAAAAGAGCATTACGTGTAACGCAACGTTTTTCAGGTGATAATGATTTATTAGAAATCATACTATCAAGAATCATATCTATATTTTAAAAATCAAAATAGAGATTGAAAATAAGAAAAAAAAAATGAATATACAAACAACTAACCAATGATTGTAGGAAATTGATCAGCTTGCATATCAAGAATAACACTTCCATTTAAAATACAATTTCGTAATTCAAGTAATGAATGTAATGATAATGTAGCAACATGTGGTTTACTCCATCGACCACCACTTTCAACATCTTCTTCAAATTTAACCCATCTAAAAAAATGAAAGAATAGGTTTGTTTTTTTTGTTTAGTTAAAATACAATTTACCTTGCTGTTTCTTTCCAACCTTGATCAATAGATTCACCTGATTCATTTAGTTTTTCACCCTCACATCTTAATTCATTAAGTTCAATAAATAAATCATGTGGTTTATGTTCTTCATCATCATCATCTTGATCTTCATCACCAAGTAAAAATTGTATACGTGCACTTGGATCGTCTATTTATATGTATATATATATACAGTTTACATCTTGGTTTTTTTTATCGAAAGAAATGAAAACTTTTTTTTACCAATTTCATATGATTCATCAGTCTCGCTGCTTGGAGCTAATTTAGATGTCACATTGCTTGGTTCTCCTAATTGTTGTGAACGACGATGACGTTTTCTATGTCTTTCTACTGGATTATATGTTGTTAAGCTAGGTTGATGATAAATTGATTTATGTCGATCTAATAAAAACCAAAGCAAAAAGGAAAAACAAATAAATTTTTCATATAAAACCAATTACCATTATCAGGTAATACTGGACGTGCTTCATTTCGTCGAAAATCCGAAATAGGAATGTATGATGTTGATGTATTATCAATATTTGATTGGTTTTCATCAGGTGATAATGATGAATAAGTTGGAAGTCCATCAAATGGATCCTTCATATTCTAATAAACTTATTTTCTATTTATAGAAAATTCTGAAAAACCAGTCAAAGAAGTCTATGATGACTTGTCAAAAGAGTGAAAAATAAGCTCTACATAAGCATGTGCAAATCATTTAGTTAAGTGCCTAGTGCATGTAACTATCAACGAAGACTAATCTTAACCGAAAGAAAAAAAAAAAGGAAAAAAAAAAAAGAGACGAGCTATAGATGTTATATAGAAAATAGTCTGGGGAGTTGACGATAGAAGAAAAAATGGAAATATCGAATGATATATAGACAGACATATTTTCTGGTCTTATTTTTTCTTGCGTCGATATCAAACGTATTTTTCTTTGGTTCTTACAAAAAAATATTTTGTTTCTATTCAAGACAATTTTTCCGACGAAACGAGCTATGCTCGAGAACGATTGTCGATTATATGTTAGTGAAAAAAAAGAAAAGAAAAAAAAAAAAAAAAAAAAGAAGAAAATGTCTGGTGTGTTTTGTTTAACAAAAGGTCATAGAATAACCTTGGAATTAGATAGATGAATAAAAACGAAATATTCACTACCTGTAAAATATCTTATCAACATAAATATATTACATTTCATTAATAATCAAATCAATGAGATATTTGTTTATGATATAGTAAAAAAAGAACAGTAATTGTCAAATGAGTATGTTTAAACGACAGAATATAAATCTCATTTTCTCTATTAGTTCCTTTGATTTGCATTTGTAATGAGCATCAACAGAGAATAAGAAAACAAAACTATTTAAGAAATTTATGTCAAAATATAAACAAAATCAAATATTATGAATATTTTTCATGAATTGCTTATTATGTTATAAGATAGAAAACTAACTTTTTCTTTTTTTTTTTTACCAAATCTTATCAATCGAACAAATCTTTTTGCATTTAACGTTGCATGAAGAATATTTGATATGTTCGTGCTATCTTCTATATTCAGTTTAGATCATCATATTTTACACTAATGATGATCCTCTTTTTTTTTCTTGCTTTTGCAGTATATAAAAAAAAAAAAAAAGAAAAGACGACATGATCAACAGCATAAAAAATCAATGTTATATTGCAGTCTATTTTGTCTTTTTTCCTGACAACTTGTCGCTCTATTGATAATAACATTAGCTCGTAGAATTGGTATACAAGAAGACTCGAAATCTAATTATCTAACTCACACTATCAATAGTTCCTGTGTTGAATGTTTACTTGAATAAACGAAGAAAAATTAGATATGACATCACTAAGACTTAGTCGGTTTCTTTTTTTTTAGCTTATATCACTGCGAAAAAAAATGTACGCAAAATCTATACGATTAATAAAACTTATTAAGTAAAAAAAAATCTAAATATGAAATATGTTAACTAATCTATTCAAATAAGAAAAAAAGAAATTTTATGAATACTTGTTAGAAATACAAAAAAAAAAAGAATAGTAACTTCTATATTCATTAAAATATAACAAGAATAAACTACTTATAATCGGACATAATTGATACTTTTTCTTTTCAAAACAAACAAAAAGTCTTGATTAAATCATAAGATGTTTGTATACCGTGTTAGGTGGTTGTTTTTTCTTCTTCTCCTTCTCAACTTTACTTCATTGTTAATATTTACGAACATACTTGCATCTAAATTTATTTCTATCGTAATAGATATGTTAATAAATTATGATTTTCAAACAGACAATAAAGCAAAAATGTCATTATCAAGTATGACACATAAGATCTGATGAAAAGAAAAATGACTTCCTTTATTTTTCTGAACTAGTCTTCATAAGAAGAAAAAAAAAAAAAAGAAAAATGAAAATAACAAGAATTTTTTTTATCTTACATGCGATTACTTCCCTGTTTCATCGGTCATATTTCGACTTTTTTCTTCATGAGTATCATTAGTATAATTATCAAATGTGTATTGTTTCGATTCGATTCAAGTATTCATATTTATTTCTATTATTGGATTCATTTCCTTCGTTATGAAATATATCAAGAATAATAATAAAAAATCCATCTCATAATAGTAAACGATGACGCCTACATTAGGTTGATAGAAGTAAAAGCACGAAAGAAAATCCAGATCCTTATAAGCTTTTTTTTTTCTTCTTCTTTTTCTACCCTATTATTATATTTTGTTCTATGTAAAGATCAAGTCACGACAAGAACATTACTATTTGTAAGAAAACATGGGTATCTATGACAATGTTTTTTTTTTCTTTCCGAATAAATGAAAAATTAAGTTAGCAGATATTTTTTATCTCTTCCTGCTAGTCTGTTTGTCTATCACATGTAACATTTTTAATAATCCATAGAGGTTTTGGATACACGTCATGTGATCTTTTCCTTTTTGTCAACTAATTTAGAATAGTAGAAAATATTTCAACATTTTATACATAACTCTAAGGTTGAAATGTCACCAGAAATTTGTTGGATAGTTTTTGGTAGATACAACGTGAAAATTGGACTGGTCTAGTTCATTCTATCTTCCTCTCTAGAGACCTATGCTTTTAGGATGAAATTTTTACATAAGATTGATGAAAATTTAAATTAGTGATGCATCAATTTCTGATTTTTAGACAATAAAGATCGCAATACTATCGATATTTAAAACCGCCGATTTCTACCAATTTTTCGAGAAATCAAAACTAGCTAAATCTCACGCGAAGAATTAATCGGAATAATCAGTAGTTCTAAGTACCGTAAATAAGTAATCTTATACATTTCAACATTATCTTAACAGTATTTATAGTTGAATGAATTATAATTTATATATTTTTGATTTTGAATTTTTGTCAGATAATAGAGAAATATGTTTCTTTCTTCCAAATAATCTAGTACTGATCTTGTCAAATACAAATGAAATATAATTTCAGATTATATGAAAAACAAATTAGACATGAACGCAATTATCGTTCTTTTGTCTCAATCTCAAATGACCTAAATTTTGTTTTTACGTATAAAAAGCTTGAAAGAAAATATCAAAACAAATAATACTGAACAATTCTTGAACAGTTTCCAACGTTATAATATCAATATGATAATCAAACAATATTTATTTGTATTTAATATTTTATTTTAAAAATTCATGACAATGAAGTAGATGAATTGTAAAAAGGTCAACAAGAAAAGATGATTTGCTTGTTCCAACTAACATAGAAAATCATTGAGACTTATTTCATTTTGATCAAATAACAATCGAAGTGAACGAATTCGTTATTTGAAGAGCAACAATTTTTTTTTGTTCTTATTTTTATCCGTCGTTATCTTCAGCATTCATTAGCTAATGAGGGAACGTTTTCAACTTAAAAATCGATTACAAAATCCCAAAAGGATAATAGGTCCTAAAAATGTCAGCTCAAAAGAATGTTCACTTCACGAGATATTGAATTCCCTAAAAATCACTCATATTCCGCGAAAGATTCAACAATCTCATGTACTTTTGGAATTCAATATTTTCAGGCCAAAATATCATCATTTGATTCTTTCGTATATATCGTGCTAATGACTAAAATATCAGTGAAACGTTCATAACTCTGTAGAGAATACCTAGATAACTGTTATCCTCTTGCGGCTTTTAATACCTCATTCGGACTTACCTTATGCGTTGAGTCTGAACTCAAAAGCGATTTTCAAGTTGGGACAGTTTTCTTTGTAAATGGTAATAGAATGAGAGAACACCTTTCAAAATTTGATTTTCGAGCTTTTCTATAGCAATTCTAACTTTTTCCTTGAGAACATATCGAAATTTAATTACAAGCATTCTTCTATTTGACAACACTTATCATTGAAATTTATCAATTTTATATTTAGACTGGAATTACAATCAATATTTATTTAGAAGTAATACAAACACAAAAATATTCTATTAAGATTCAGTATAATAATGAAAAATTTTTTCATGTGTTTCTGTATCAAATTTTGGTATAAAGTCAATATTTATAATTTCAGCTAGACCTTCATTTGCTTTTGGTGCTTCATAATTTTTCTTATACACATTATAGCCAACATCTATAATAAGAAAAAAAAGAAAATTTTTCTCTTGAATTATTTTTTTTTGGTTTGTGTAACATACCAGGTATTCGACGAACTTCACCAGATGTTTGATGAACACGAACATAATTTAAATGATGACATAATTCAATAGGTGTATTAAGAACAAAACAACGACAAGGAATTTTATGTGATTCAGCTAGAGCAATATATTCTGATCGAGAAGCTGCAGCTGGATTTGTATTATCGATAACGACACTTTGACCACTATCTAAAGCTTCTTTTGCTGCCTAAATAAAACAAAAAAAAAATTAAATAAAAGATTTATATAAATATAAACATCGTACTTTGAGACATTTTGCAGGTGTTTGAAGTTTATCACGATTGATTATCTCATAATTATAAGGTTGAAAATATCGACGAGAAAAAGTACTTTTTCCTAAAAGATTTATAATAGGGAACAGAAACGATTTTTATTTTTATTTAAACAAACCTGATGCAGGTGGTCCTTGTAAAATAACAACTTCTTGTGTCTAGAAAAATACTAAGATTAGCAAAAAAAAAAAACTTTTTATTATTTATAAAATTTACCGATTTATGATAAGTTTTTGTTTCATTTGTTGTTTTTCCATTGGATAATTTATTAATATATTCACCTGGATTAATTGAACCCCATTCGAATTTAGTAGTTGGTGCTTCATCAAGAAAACATTCTTCAGGTGTTTTAAAAGCTAAAATTTTCTCCCGTATATGACCAAAAAAAAAAAAGAATCATTTAATTTAAACTTACTTAAACCAATATTATGAGCAAATTTTCTATCAGCACATGAAAAATCTTTTTTCTTTCCTGCTGTCCAATTATTTATTCGACCAGCAGCATCACCACAATAAAAACTATTTTTCTTGTCAATCTATTTTAAAAGAAAAATTTTCATTCAAATATAAGAAACTAATTAAAATTTTCTATAACTTACTTCAACATTTTGATTACAATTTTCAACAAAAAAATCATACATTGATGTAGCTGGTTTTCGAAAATGATTTTCACCAGTTGCAATAAATACATAAATAGGTGCATTAGTTTCTTCAATTAATTTTTCACATTTACGTTTTATATCATCTAATTTTGTATGATGTTTTTCAATACCACCTTGATTTGTAAATATTATTAAACGATAACCATCTTTATGAAGTTCGGCAAGTTTTTTTGGAACTGTTTCATGCCACCATATCCAATCTGCATGATCTATAAGACGAAAAAGAAAAATAAAGTATTTTATAAAGAATTTTTTGTTTCGTTTTAAATACTTTTAGCAAATTTAGCTCCAGATTTAACACTAATTAATGTTGAATCCATATCAAATGAAGCAATTTTTGAACAACCAGGTAATGTATCACCATAGAGATAAACTAATGGAACAAAACCTTTGGATAACGGTTCACCATGTTCATACCATTTTAAATTAAAAAGGTTCGTTTCACCTTTAGCACGCTTGATTTCATGTTCAGCTGTTGTAGCAGCTTTACGTTTTGTTGCTGTACGTTTGGACATTGTTAATATAAAATATTCCAGTAAAAAAGATTTTTTTTGTATAATAATTATGATGCTTTTCAAGGGTATTTATTTAGTTGCTTTTTTGTTATTGTCGTATTACATGATCGTTATGCAATAACAACATCTTGCTATGAATAAGAGAATGACTCTTTTTTCTGTTTAAAACTCATTCTATTGGTTATTTATTTCTGTAAAAAAATAAAAGTTCAATACTAGTTGAAGATGTCACGACGAACAGAAAATATAATGACCATTTGTAATAAATATTTATAGTTAAATTTTTGGAATTCACAAGTAGATTTAATATGTATGAAGCCTCACTACAAAAAAGAACATAATAAATCGTGTGTATTTATCAGTAGATTGTATGTGAGTTAGAGCCGGTCGAGCTGGTCCCAGACCCAGATTCGCTTCGGGTCTAAAAATTATGGGCTCGGTGGGCTCCAGTAATCTGAGAAATGTGTAGGGTTCGCTAGTCATCGCAATCAAAAAGCCGGAAAAAAGTATATTGTATCTTCTGGATAGTGTCCTGCACGGGTACGACTTTTTGCAATGGAACCCAGGCCGAAGCTAATAGACATCCGATAGATACTTCGATAGTTACAGTATGGCTTTTAAAATTTTATTTTATATGAAAAAGTATACTATTTAGTTTCTTGCATAAACAGCAACAAAAAAGAGATAATCTCAAGTCTCACGAAAAAATCAAGTGATTCAAAATTCACTTGGCATCTTTCTGCTTCTAAAATCCGACCAATTTCACTAAGTATACATTTGCTTGTTGCTGATGACGCTGTGTTGGTGCCAAACGTCATAATTGTGGATACACATACATGAACACTTTTTCCATGATGATAATACGTGTTTACCATTTTCATAATTCATTTTCTTCTTCATGTATTCAGTTATTTCGTCATATGGTTCTTCATCATTTGTAGATGAATTTTCACTAAAAAAACGAATTCTCGTAATAAAACAATATCGTTTTCCACTACTGTAACTTGTTCTCAAGTACAATAAATTTCTGAATCGTAGTCGAATCGATTTTAACTCCTATGTTTTTACAGAAATTAGCAGTTTGAAAAGGTAAAAATATTTAAAAACGTCGAGATCTCATTAATTACCGAGTTGGCCTCAAAAATTTTGGACCCATGAACTCTAATGTGGGTGAAGAGATGACTTACATCCCCTTCATTCCACAGAAATGTATAGTTATTTGGCCATTGCAGACAATGATAAATGTCAACTTGAATTTGAGCCGTAAGGCTTCATATGATAATCTGCCGCATTCTGTTCCACCGAAAGGTTTGTGTAGAAGTTGTTTTCCAATTCATATTGGATTCGGATGCAAGCATCACAGTCATTAAGAAACTATTCAACAGGTACTGTTGTCATCAAAATGATACGAAAACGACGAAATTAGATTGGAGATTCACTTGTCTTAGAATCGGCAAAAATCTTGAACGTTTAAACTATAAATGAATACTTTAAGCGCTAAAGAATCAGAGAATCTTATTTCGAAAACCGGAAACTTTTTCATCATATATTCTAAGTTTAATTTGCAAAGCCGAAAACTTTAATCTCTTTTGAAACGAATGATATATTCTGGCCGATAAAATTAAAAGTTCAATGATGAAATTGATTAATATAGGGAAATGTTGAGAATTCTCTATAATCTTTCCATCAATCTTGTTGAAATTTTCCTTGTTTCATTGAAAATCTATTCTTGGACAAAATATCATTGAGCCCTGAAGAAAAATTGTATCGGAAAATAGTTCTTCGTACATTTCATTGATTGTTGAATAATTGTATTTTTCTAAAAATAAGATATAAGTATCATGACAATTCGTCTTTAATATTTTGATTAATCATAATAGTCAGGTGTAAGCTTTAGTGTTTGTATAAGAATTGGATAATGACAAAGAAATAGATGTGCATTAGATAAGGATGCTAATTGTTTCAATCGTCGAATTGATTTAAGTGCAACTGTATCATCAACAGATTCTCCAGGCAAGATTTCTTTCTCATAATTTTCTAGTAAATCACCAGCATCATCTGTCATAATTATACTTGTTCCACTTGGCAATAGAACAAGAACAGATTGATGACCAAGTGTGTGGCCACGTATCGAAATCGAATTCAAACTAGATAAAATATTCGTATCACCATCGATTAAAAGCCAATCAGTTTCAGATCGATTATCATAATCATCACGAAACCTTGCATAACTTAATTTTTCGGGTGATTGAAATACATATCCATATTCTTGACATTGAATATAGATTTTTGCAGTTGGAAAATATTTTAAATTTCCTGTATGATCAGTATGTGTATGAATTAATATAATATAATTGATCATTTCTGGTTCTATGCCAATGAGTGATAATTGATATTTCAAACGATGCATCGGAAGTACGACTGAAAGTGGTGTCCAACCACGATCAACGAAATATTTTTTCGCTAATATGGAGTTATCAATATCACTATCAACAAGTATCCAACCTTTAGTTGTATCGCGAAAATAGGCACCCATCGGTTCACTCATGATGATATTTACACCAAGATTGCGAGTTGATATTGTTTTAGATAAAATCTCAAATTCACATAATAAAACATAGAGTCGTCGAACGGAAGTTTTCGTATTTTGAACAACAGTTGACATTTGTAACTTTCAAAAAAAACATAACACAACAGAGACAAAGCGGCGATAACACAATTGAAGTTTGATGTAAAATTAATCGATTTAACTTTTCCACAGGAATTTCTTCTATCGTAGAGAAATGCATAAAGAAAGTCTATTTCTTACTCTATATTTTCATTGCCTCTCTCTCCTTGTTTCTTTCCCATCTGTACATATTTGACTGACACATTTAGTATCTGTGACTAGTTTGACTTTTATGAGGCAATTACAGAAACACATCCTTTTCGAACTAATATATGGTTGAAGCAGCTAGTGCACGGCAATAAATGGTGATTGTGTTCCAGGCTTGATTCTTCTACTAGCTGAATATAGTTTATTGATAAAAAATTTTTTTAGCGGCTCAGAACTGCAAAGATCAAATCCTCAAATAAAGCTTTTCTTCATTCATTGTCATAAATTCTAAACACAGTTATTAGGATATTCACCTAATGAATTCATGATACCGAATATCGCTAATGACTTTGCGTGAATTCGGTGTAACGGAATGGATATCCATGTATTTTCAGAGTTCAGGATATTGAGATACGAGTGTGGAGGTAGGTTTTATCTTGACCTCTGAAAACGCACACTCAACCCTTGAATCTTATAATGATAAAATAAAGTTTTTTTTGTTTCTCATGAAAATATTATTGTTTTTCATGGCTAGTTTTATTCTGGTTCTTTTTTCTATTGCACAACATATATACGCCTGATTAAACAAAAAAAAATAAATAAAATCTGTTTATTTTATTAACTATCTATATCCATTTTTTGTCGTCGAACAAGTTCTCGATAAATTCCATTATCATTTTCCATTAATTCTTCATGTGTACCTTGTTCAGTTAAATTACCTTTATGTATAACAAATATTTTATCACATCGTTCTATTGTACTTAATCGATGTGCTGATATAAGAACAGTTCTTTGTTCTTGTTTGTCTTTGTTATAAAATAATGCATCTTGAATCTATTTAGAAAAAAGAAATCTATATATATTAAAGAGAATGATCAATTTATTTGAAAATTTTACCAAACGTTCATTAACAGGATCTAAAGCTGATGTTGCTTCATCTAATAGAAGTATTGTTGGTTTTCGAATAATAGCTCGAGCAATAGATATTCGTTGTTTTTGACCACCTTATTTAATTGGACAAAAAAAAAAAAATCTTAAAAACAAAAATTATTTATAAATAAATTCTTACCAGATAAATGACCACCACGTTGACCGCATTTAGTATTATATCCATTAACAAGATCAGTAACAAATCCATGTGCATTTGCTTCTTGAGCTGCATAAATTACTGTTGCATCATCTTTATTATTATTTTCATCATCATTTATTGCATATGTTATATTTTCTTTAATACTTCGATTAAATAAAATAGGTTCTTGTCCAACCATAGCTATTTTTCTATGAAGATATTTATGATCATAATCATGAATTTCTCGACCATCAATTAATATTGTACCACTACTTGGATCATAAAAACGTTCAAGTAAATTAATACATGAAGATTTTCCTAATGAAAAAACAACAAAATTCAATACAAATAATTATTTGTTTTTTATTTTACTTTACCAGAACCAGATGGTCCAACAAAAGCACATGTTTGACCTGGTTCAATTTTAAATGTTATACTCTATAAAACGAATTGAATTAATAAGTTAAAATAAAATCAATCAATATCTACATGAAGAGCAATTTCATCTGGTCTTGCTGGATAAACAAGTGCTACATTATTAAATTCAATTTCACCTCGAAATTCATTTGGTTGTAGTGTACCATTTGGTCGTTGTATTGGTTTACGATCAAGATAATCAAATACAGATTGACTGGCACCAGCTGCTGTCATAAGTGCTGTATATATTTGAGATATATCCTTTAATGTAAATAAATCATTTTCTTCAAAAATCAAATATATATTTATTTACACTTAAAATTGCTCCAAGTGTTAATTGATATATAACAAATGCTAATAAATCTGGTCCAGCAACTCGATTGTCACGTACAAGTTCGGCACCATAATAAAGCATAACAACACTCATACCAAGTTGCGCTAACTATTAAATAAAACAAAGATGATTAATAACTTGTATTTAATTGTTCAACATGCTTTTTTTGTTACACAGTCACAAGGAAACAGCTCAAGAGGTTCTTTCTTCAGTAAGAAATTAGTTTTAGTATATTAAATAGTTTGAAAAGTTCAATATTTAATTTATTTTCGTTCAGTTTTGTTTTGTTAGTTTATATCAGTAAAACTAGTATAATTACAATTAACACAAGTTAATTGCATTAGTAATGCTTTTTATGGTCTGTCCATATCTTTCATCGCTGTTGCCATCTTTAAACAAAATTAGATATATTATTGTTAATTGATGATTCAATGAACTAGGGTTGTTGATAGTTTTTAGGGATGGAAACGATTAAAAATTTGGCAAAGTGCTTTCATTCTCGAAGTGGTGACCGACGAATGAAGCCTACTGTGATCCGATTCCTCGCATAACAGACGACCTATCATCAAGCTTTTCTTCTATCGGAACCTGTCTCAATCCTATTCATTTCGAAATGACATTGCCTGATTATTTTTACTTCATATTCTGCCAGAAAAAGGCAAATGGTGTTTCAAAACCCTGTTTCTGTCCAAGGTTACCATGAAGCTGTAAAAAATGAACAGAAAGTTGAACAATTTGTGGGAGAGTAGAAGAAAAATTATCGTAATCGAGGATCCTAGACCTAACAGATCAATACTAACCTATGTCTTTTATTTTCCATACAACAACTATCTATATCTGAACGAACTATGGAAAAAAAAACAACGACACTTAGAAGAAAGCATGATGAAAAGAAAAAATACTTGAACTATATCAATACTGATGGTATCATCATCTTAGTACTATTTATTTAATGAATAAATGAATTTTTAAATTAACAAACTGAATTAATTACTAACACTTTAATTTTAACATTTAACAAATTATTAATTTATTAAGCAAATATAATAATTACCGAGCACTAAATTTTTGGGCAACACAACAGTAGACCTCCTGAAATTTGAGCTTCAATGGATTATGAACATGAAAAATTATCATATAAAAAACATTTATTTAAAAAAAAAGAGCTAAAAATCAATAGTCGAAACTCCATATGAACGTCGGGAGGTCAACTGTTAGTGTACTACTAATAATGAAAATGCTTCCAAACAATAGCAAACAAAGAAACTATCTGCTTTTAATAAACTAATAGATTTCATGATAATAATAGAAAAAAAAAAGATTCTGTCTTAATTCGTTCATACTTACTTCAACAAACCATTTTTGTCCAGCTGATAATGCAGCTTGTATAAGTGATGCTTTATATGCTTGTTGAAGAATATCAGCAAATCGTTTTAATTCACCATCTTCATTTCCAAAACTTCTAACTGTTCGTATTGTTTGAATTGTTTCCTCAGCTATTTCGGATGCATCAGCTGATAGATCTTGAACTTTTTCTGATATACGTCGATGTGCATTACCACTTATTTTAGCAACAATTAATATAAGTGGTGCACCAATAAGACAAGCAATTGTTAAATGTAAACTCAATTTAATCATCATTATAAATGTACCAACTATAAAAATACGAATAATTAAAAATCCGGAAAAAAAAGTAATGTTTCATTAAAAAATAAAACTATAGTCAGAGATATAAATTTTATACATTAGGACAAACAAGTTTTTTGTTTTTTTTGCTAAACTTACCAAATTTAACAAATGCGCCGATACATTGAGCAGTATTATTAGCTACAGTTGAACTCATTATTTGTGTATCATGATTAAGACGTGAAAGTAGTTTACCACTTTCATGTGTATCAAAAAAACCAATTTCTTGTCGTAAATATGATTGAAATAATTTTATTCGAAGACGAATATTAAGACGTGATACACATATTGCAAATATTCCAATACGAAATCCACCAAGAAATCCTCTGAAAAAAAAAACAATTTTTTTTTAACGTTTTTTTTATTTAATTATTCATACCCAGTAAAATTAACAATAACAAACATAATTAAATTATGTTTAAATTGTTTCCATGTATCTTTAAACGCAACACTCGATAAAAGTCTACCGGTATATAATGGTACAAAAATTTCAGCTAAAAATAATCAAGAAAAATACGATTCTTGAGAAATTAAATAAGATAGTACTTGCATATAGCAGCTCCTAATAAAACTATTGTTCCTAATGTAATCAATGGCCAATCTGATCGACTATATCGAAATAAACGTTTGAGTACACGACGTTGTTTAGGTTTAAATTGTAGATCTATATAGTAGAGAAAACAAAATGTTAAATTTTCATCGAGAAACAAAAAGAAACGCTAATTGAAATTACCGTTTTCTTGTTTTTTAAAACAATTCATGATAATTGAGAGAAATGAAAGAAATGTAAATTATACGGAAAAAAAGACTAAAGGATTATTATCTATATATTTTCTTGTTTCTGTCATTTTTACATAAGAATAGAGAACACGATCGTATTCCATTCGTTCTCACAGAATACAAAAAAAATAACGTTGTGTCTACACAAAAAGAGGACTATATGGAAAGAAGAATGGAGGAGAATATTTACGCATGAAATAATTCATTGATATTCTTGAATAATTATGGCCAGTTCTCATCGAATTTTAATCATTATGACTCTTACCTGAATTTGGGTCATTCATTGATTGATAACTTGTTACAGGCATCTTTATGTTATTTTTATTGTACAAGGTTAAAACATTAAATATTTAAAATAGACGAGAACGATATTCTTCTATTGAATTATACCTTTACTACATGTTGTTCTTTCGTTTATCGTTTCTCGCTCTCTCTCTTTCTCTGATTCTTAAATACATATAGTGATGATTGATGTTCGAGAAAACAAATGATTCACTAAATCTTTGTAACTTAACATTTATTAATTTGATAAAAACTACAGTTAAATGATTAATATTAGATTTTTATTTTTATTTTGATTGTAAAACAAAAATCGATTCTATGTTTTTACAATTCATCATGACTGATAATTAAAGTTTGAGGTGAAAAAAACACAAAGATATAGAACATGCATTTTTTATTATCATTGTGTCAATAACTAATCAGTTGATAAATTTCATGAAAATGTTTCGAAGATATCCATATAAATTTCCTGAATTTATTATCGATTCAGATATTTAAAATAGGTAAATAATACTTTCAAGTGATTATAATGCAATCGAACAAAGAATACATTAGTGAAATCAAGACTAAAACTCAGTTATGAAAATATTTGCATGTCTATACTCATTTCCACCGTTTGATAACATTTTGCCATTGAAGAATAATCACAACTACATAGATTAGTCCAAAATACTTTTTTACCTATATGAAAGTCACTATATGAAACTTAGAAAAAAAAACATGGCGAAAATTATTCAACATTTGCTTATAAATCAATTAATAATCATATTCACTGTAACTATGGACACATTGCATTTATTTATTAATTAAATATATATGACCTAAGCCAAAAGAAAAAAAGAAATGATTAATATGAAAAATGTGCCACTCGTAAACGCAAACGCATTGCATTTTGTATTGAACTTAAAGCATTTCGTTCAACAGGTTTACCTAAACAGATAAACCAAATACATATTGCAATACCAATAATACAAATAAGATTTTTAAAAATTGTAAATATTGTATATAAATAAGTATTTGATAATGGATTTCCATTAAATGAAAATAAAATAAAAATAAGAATAAATACACCAAATGCACAAAATATTCGTTCACGTTGTATACGTTGAATTGATTCTTCAACAATAATACAAGCTGAACGAAGTTTTTCACGTGTTTCTTCATCAGTTATTTCAACATCTTCAAGTGGTGTTATTTTTTTTTCTGGAGCTTTTTCATCAATTTCAAATAAAGCATAAATAGCTGTATGATCAGAATAATAAAGTCCATCGGGATCATTTGGAACTTTATGTAATGTTGGATAAGCTTCAAGACATTTAACATTATCTATAATTTAAAAAGCAAAAAACAAAACAATTAAATGTTTGCATTAGTTTAAAGAAAATAATCATAACAAACCATTTCGTGCTCGATATAAGATATAATCAATACGTTCACCTTCACCTTGAAGTTGATATGGAACAATATATGGATTATCCAGTAAATCACATGTTAAACCACTATTACCAAGAGTTGGATCAAATATATCCTAAGAAAAAAAAAAAATGTTTTTTTTTTACATTAAATTTATTTATCTATTTTATTTTACTTTATTAATACGGTGAAGAAATGAATCATTTAATTGAAGAATGCCTCGGATAAGTTGAAAACCTAAATCACTTGTTGTTAAATTTAAATCTCCTAAAAGTATTGTTAAATGTGTTGTATCTGCTGACGATGTACTTTCAATAAATTGAATTAATTCATATGCTTGACATATACGATGTCCCAAATAAATATCTTTTGGTATAACATGATGATAATTAGCATGTAAATGTGTATTATATACATTTATTACATGACCATTTATTAAAATTTTACATAGACAAATTAATTTACCAGCAAAATAATCACCATGTTGAATTTTATGTGGAAAACCTAGAAATATTATACAATTTTAGTTTTATTTTTAACTTCATCTCTTCATAATAAATGTAAATATTTAAGCGTTCTGGGTGTTGAAAAACTAGGATTTTACTTTTCTCTGGACTTCCTATCTTCGCAAATATGATAATAATTTTTATTTAGTTATATTCTTGTGGAAAACTATTTTCTTAATTCGAATCACAATTTGTATTTTTTTAAATGCTTACAGCAATAGAAAAAAATACTGTACTATTTTTCTGGTAAGTGTAGTAGTCATTACGCTGCTCAATAACTATCAATCACTAAGGGCAGAACTAGAGAGGATGCTCGGGTGCTTAGGCACTCGCTTAAACATTTCCCGGCGGAGTTACTTTTAGTGGAAACACAATGTTTGTATTTAATGTAAAATTAGTCCTTATTAGAGTTTGCAAAAAGCTTGCATGATCTACAGTTCCACCACACAGCGGACTTCACTCTTTTGTAACATGATTTATATTAGAATTATTTTACTAGATGATAGGTACGGAGCTGTGGGTCCTTTCAGACCAGGACCCGACCGGATGTTCGGACCCAACCTTTTGTTTTTTGTGGACCCGCTGCTCCCCAAATGAAAAATACAGCAACAGGATATAATTGTATGTTGAGTTTTTTTCTAAGAGTAGAGAATAAATAGCTAAAACCGTGATCCTTTTCTTGTCCATGTACACGAAGGGCGTCAGGTATTGATGGAAAAAATCTCGACTTTGGACCGGACCTGGTCTCGATCAGGTCCAGGTACGGGTTCACAAAAACGCGCATCCGCAGCTTCCTAATGATAGGTCTTAAAATAGGGCACTACGGATAAGCTAACATTGAATTCTCTGTACTCGTAGGTCGTTGACAGAAACTATCGTGTTGTCATACGCACTGGTGTTTCTACAGACGGTCCGATCCAATAGACGATGGGTGTGTGTTGAAAGTTTTCTATTATAAACGTACGTATTTGCTTCAAAAAGTTCACGATCTCAAATCTGTCTTTCATTGTAATGGACAAAACTCGTTCGATTCTATTATCCCATTGCATTTTGAGTACAATTTCATATCTTATCACAGTAATAATGCTATCATACCATATATGAAAAAAAACAGTCGCAAAAGGATTAAGAAAAAAACAACCTAGACAAAAGATTGTATTCACTATATCAAATACTTCTTTAGGAGAAATCTTGGTAATACGTCGATTATTTACTTATCTGTCTCTATCTTTTACGTTGAAAGAGTAAGGTCTAAAGTATAACAAATAAAAAATAGTTATCAGTATTTTAAATATTAAAGTGCAAAACGAAGAAGCATTGAAAATAATTTTGCGTATGAAGTATTAAATTCGTAAAAAGATTTATGGTAAATTTTTAAGAGAAAATTTTCCTTACCATTTAAAGTATATTGATGTTCATAAACACCAATAATTGGATGTTTTGAAAAGATACAACAACCTGAACCAATAAGACCACTTAAAAAATAATAACTGTATGGATAAATAGTTTTAATTTGATTACGAATATAAAGATAATCTTTTTTACTCCATACCTATTTTAAATAATAATAAAAAAAAGTTTATAATGTTAAATTATTTTCTATTTCTTATTTCGACTTACTTCTTGTAATCCAATAATATCATATTCTCCTTCAGGACTAATAAAATGATTTATTAATGCTTGAATACGTTTATCAATAAATTTCGCCACATAATGTACACCCCAAACATTCAATGTAAGAACACGCAATTTCATCGTCGTTTTTTTTGATTATTTTTTATGCGTCTAGAAATATAAAATGTTTTACCTTGAAGTCTTATCTATGTATGAAAATCAACTATGTAATATGTTCTTGTTTTTTGGTCTTTCTCTCGAGCTCGAGTTTATTCAAATAAAAGAACAATAATAAAAAAAAAGAGAAAAGGTGTTGTTTTTTAACTAGAGTTGCCATTTGTTGTCGGTTTATCACCGCTTCCTTTTTCTGTTTTCTTATCAGCAGCAACAGCAGCTGCAGCAGTTGTTGTACTTGTCGTTGTATTGGATGATATATTATCTGCTTTTTCAGCATCAGAATTTTGAATTTTATTCATAATTAAATTATGTAATGCTATTATTGAACGTATTAATGATGAAAGATAAACAAGTAACATTTCATCATTTGTTTTAACATAAATTGATTTTATTAAATCTTGTTGTGTTACATCCGGTAATAAATTAAATATATCTTGTATATGAGATAATATTTGATGATTAAGTGGTAATTTATTTGCCAACAATTTATCCAGATATGCTCGAATATCATATAAACTTTTTGTTAAACCTTTGAGACCCATTAATTGATTTGTTATACGTTGTGATAATGTACCAACTGTTGCATTACGAATATCACTAATAAAAAAGAATCATATCAATATAAAGAAATAAAAGAATTGATAGAAGTGCTTAAGTCCTATCTGTATCACAGATATTCATCGCTGATAAGAATCTACCGCTGCCGCAACGTTACCGCTATGGTGGCATCGTCGCCATGGATATCTCTGATTCAGATATCAATCATCAGAGAAATACTCTAACTGATAAATTGCTTTTGAATAGAGATTATGCATGCTATGCAGATCCAAATGAGCCATGAACATCTTTAAAAGAGTTCATACCCTTAGCTGATTGTTGTGGGCATGCTGAAATTTTACGGTTTTTTGTTTTTAAATGAATATTATGACCCAGAAAAACTGTTTTACTTTGCACAGAAACAAAATCTTGAGAAGAATAGTTTATAAAGGACACGCTTTTAACATAATTGTATTTTAGAATAGGAAGAGCGATATTGTCTGAAACATTCACGTTACCGCATGTCTCTTGCAAAGTTTCAAGTCGAAATTTGAAAATCAGTTTTTCTGCTTCCATTTAAAAAATACCGTAAAAAATGCAATATCTTAAACTAAGGGTGCGGACTCTTTTCATAGCTCATTTAAGCCTGCATAACATATATAGTCTCGACTCAAAAGCGATTTATCAGGTTAAATGACCTTCTACATGAGATTACTGATATTAACATACCGAAGAAGATGTTCAACACCAACTTCTTCAGCTTCTTCTGCACCAATTTCTGATGGTAAATGTTCAAATGTTTTTGATGCTGGACTACCATCCTATTCAATAAAAACAACTTTAATTCAATAATTTTTGAAAAAAAAACAAAAATTCTTACATCATGAATTTCTTCAACGGCAATATAAGCTTCTGTTGGTAAACCTAAATCTTTTGGTTTAGCATCAATAATAATAAGAACTGAATCTGGTTGATATTCTCGAATTAATTCATTTATTGATATATCATTTCGATGTAATTTTGGACCTGTATGATACCATCCAACAATACGTTCACGAGCTAAAATTTCGAAATTTTTATTAATATAAAAATTTTTCAATATTTTTTCTTTACCATTAACTTTTCTAAACATAGTATACATATTTTCCAAATATTCATGATCAAGAAACCAAACCTCTTTTTCTTTATCTTCTTCATCAAATGGTACTGAAAAAAAAATAAGAAATCACAATAAAAATAATAGATTGAAAAAAAAGAATTCTTACATGCGAAACTATTTGAAACATCAAGAATTTTATTTTTAAGTGCACCAAGTAATACTCCTACAACACGTTGTGAATTTCCTATTTTACCCATACGATTAAAATGATCAACAACACTAAGAAGTACAAGTGGATGAACAACAACTTTTTCAATTTTATTTAATGGAGATATTGTTAATGAAAGATTTTTATCTGTTGATAAACCATTTTCACTTGAATTTTGTTCATCACTAGTCGACTTAGCCGATGTTGTTGTTACTGGAGGTGGCATTTGTTGAAATCTTAAATGAATAAAATACAAATGTTTTTTTATTATTATTTGACTATTAATAGATGTCAGATGATTCAGTTACAATTAACCATTGGATAGAACTATACACGAATAAAATAAAATCTTTACTCTCTTCTTCTTCTTCTTGCGCCTTCTATTAGCAATTCATAGTTATATAGAACAACATTAAAAAAAAAAACTTTAGAGAAATCCTCTTTCCGACACTTTTGGAAAATAGCTCATTAGAAAATTTTGAAAGTTTTAGGAAAATACACCTTGATGAGTGGAGCTCGTCGGGTTGGTCCTAAACCTCCATGGGCTCGAGTAATCTGAGGAATGCTAGTCACCGAACACGAAAAAATCGGAAAAAAAGTATCTTGTAACTTTGGAACGACTATCCAATTCTGATGAGAAAATTTCATTGAGTATCAAAGTATGGTTCGATCGGCTCTATGTGCAATACAAAAGAATGGTACAAGTGTGATTTACCTGAGAAAAGGGGAGAGTGTAAATTTAATGAAAAAAAAATGAAGACATTAGAATTGTTGTACTTAGTGAATGCAATAGATTTGGAATTATGGTGTAATGAAAAATTTGAAGAAAATATTGTAATAGAAAAGAGTTCTTGTTTCGAAGATCAAAAAGAAATAAAAATTTAGATTTTAGTTAAATTTATTTTGTCTTTTACAATATATGTAGCTTTTGAAAAGTTTCTGCTCTTCATTATTTAATGACACAAAGAATTTTACACTTTTGCTTCTTTTTTTGTATTTTAATTTTTGATCTTTTCTTCTTGCATTAGCTTTTCATTAACTTTATAATCTATATGTCAAATGATGTTGAACAAAGATTGTGAAATAAATTTAAATAAGGATATCATCGAAATATATTGCATAACAACAATACAATGATTGCAACAAAAAGATCAAAAAGTTTAAGACACAGAAAAATTGAAATAGTTTTAAGTAACAAAACTAATGTGTTTCTTAACAAGGATGCGGAGTTACTTGAAGATACTAAAGCATCCAGACTGTTCTTCGAAATAGCATTAATAACGAGGACGAATGAGTTCGAGAACGTCAACTAATTTCATGGCAATACTTTCTTGATGATTACTTCATTTATTGGTATTGTCCTTATGTTAAACGCTAACGCCACAAGTTCGTTTAAATTTTTACGGCATATAATTTTATCTATTATATTTAAAAGTGGAAATTTTAGACGAAAGTGAGATGCTATTGTTACATGTGTAAATACGTTTTTCGAGGATTATTAGTAGTTTCTTTTTCTCTCTTGTTATTGTTTTAAGTCAACTTTATGATTGCTGAAAATATTTGTAGTATGAATGGTGTTTAATTAGAAATTTGCATGACTATTGAGTTTGCTAGTCCTACGTATGTAAGATGACTAGAACACATTAAAACAATGGAAAACACTTTGATTAAAATGCCTGTTTAATTTTTCTGCACCCATCCTCAAACACAATAAGTTGAATTCTTTTTATGTCTCATCGAATATTTACGTAATCTAATAATTATACAACAATCTTAATTGTCATTGTTATTATCATCTTTCGATATTTATATGTATAAAAATTATATGTTAAGAAGTTTCATTTGATTTTATTCATATATTATTCAACTAAGTTTTATTAGTTTTTTATTATTTTAGGACAAATATATGAAATATATACATTATTTCACGTCTTCCTCAAACCAACTTTTTCATGAATAAAAAGTGCAGGAACGTCCTCGTTTCTCCGGCTTAGTACGTCCTATCGAGCTGAAACTTCGCATATACTATAAACTGTTTGAAATGCGTTTTTAAGGATACTTTCGATGTTTTGGCATTTTTATTCCAAAGACAAAAATAAAAAGATTCCCACGCCAGACAGTGTTTAGTCTCATAGAAGATAGCATCCAAGAACTTTGTGTCTATTGCAACTTTTGCTCTACTCGTTAAGATCTACCTGGCCTGAAAGTTTCAAGCTTCTTGTGAGAGTAATTAGATGAAAACAGAAAATTATCTTTATAAGACGACAATGAATTTATGCATATCAATACTAAACATTGTTTGATTTCATATAGTATGAATCACTGAATAATTGACAAAAAGAAAATATTAGTATGAGAAAAAAACTATTCTTTTTCAGTAAGAACGTTAAGAAATGAATTTGATGTAGGGGTTTGAGAAGGCATATCATCACGTCAATATAGATATGAATCAGAAAACAAATTAGTTATCAATTCTTATATTAGATTACCAGCATAACTGATTAGAATGTGCGAATAGGAACTTAGTAAAACGAATAAATAAAGTATATAAATGAACAATGTAGTCATAAGTCATAAATAGTTACGATTATATCCAATGACAATGATTAAAAACCAATCATCTGCTATTTTTCACCGGCAAAATGAACTCTATTGTATATTTTGATGTCTATCGTAGTTGTTCAGAAACGAAGTTTTTTATTAAAAGCTTTAGAAAAAAACCATGACAGATAGGTGAACCGGCTCAATAGTTTGTTTGAATCTCAGTTATATAAACATCATGATGTTACGAAAAAAAACCTTGTACGATCGAGTTTTGACAAAATGAACCACAAAATCTAAAGTCGGTTTAAACATCATTCACGGTATGATTCTCATTTTCAATTTATTATATCATGATGATTAGGATTGAAGTCAAATTTCTCCATTTTTCTGTATTGCGATGAATAACCGCCTGGGATTATATATTAACACTAAAAACAAAACTAGTGATACTTACACATTAATACTAAAAACTTTAGTGAGAACTAGAGTTACTCGAATCGAATCAGCGAAATTCGATTCGATCTCTACAACTGTAAAATGAGCTATTTTTGATCCTTGTTTGTTCAACATCTCCTGAAAACATAATGATATAGAGCTGAAAATTTTTATCATAATCTCTCCACTACAACCTCAGTATATCCTGAAAATTTCATGTTAGCTTGAAGAGGCCTTAAAATAAATGTTTTTACGCATCTTTTTTGCATGTCTTCAATAAAACATAATTTTTTTTATCGTAATTTAATAAGGAATTAACTGAAGAAATAATTCTACAAGATAATACTACGAAACAAACAATAACAAAAAATTTCACAATGAATTACTAAATATTTGAATGAATCTTCTAATTATTAATCTTTATATAATGATTATTTATTTATGATAATATAGAACACAGTAGCTATAATAAAAAAAAAACAGAAACGGATTCAATAAACACGTTCGCATTTTATCTTCTATAAATGAAGATAAAAACAATCTTTATTATACACTTGCAGTTGATGTTGTTCGTTTTGTTCGATAAGCAACTTTTAATTGTGTATTTTTAAGTTTTAATGATGAACCAAGTTTAATAGCAGCAGCTGCTAAATTATCATTAGGAAAAGTAACAAAAGCAAAACCAGGTCGAACACCTTTCTTATCTGTTTTAGCTGGAATTAATTCAATTTTAGTTGATTTTGGAAAAAGTTTTTTTATATCAGATTCTTCAACATTATCAGGTAATTGACCAACATATATTGCATCAGTTAAAGTTTGCATTTCTACGAAAAACAAAAACCAAAGTAAAGAGAAAAAGAATCATGTTCGATACAAACCTGGTTTAGTCTGTTGTTTTTTATTTGTATTTTCTGTTGGAGTTGTTTGTTTTTTCTTTTCTGAAGTTTTATTTGAATCAGTAGTTGTTGGTTGTGTTGGTTTATCATTTTTTGCAAATGCATAAGATATATGAACTTTTTCACCACCAATATGTGTATGAGCTTTTAATGCATCACTACAATCTGATTCATTTTCAAATGTAACAAAAGCAAATCTAAGAAAAAATAAAAGAATAATTCTAATAAAAAAATTTCAATAGATAAAAAACCTTACTGCATAATTTTATGATTTGGACCAACTTTTCGTTTTTGCATTTTAACTGATGTTGCTTTTGGATAGAGTGATTTCATATCCGATACAGTAATATTTTCTTTTATTGAATTTATATACAATTGAGATTTATTAAGTGATTTTTTTGATGTTTCTTCTTTGGTTGTTTCACTTCCAACTTTTTGTTTATTTAATATTGGTGTTGGTTTAGATTCAGATTTTGTAGCTTTCGACATTTGGTTTTGTTTAGACGTAGTAATAGCTGATGATGATTGTTTTAATCCAGATTTAAGTGATGGTGAAAATGTTTCTTCTTCATCTTCATCTTCATCATCACTATCATCATCGTCATCTTGAGCAAAAGATGATTTGACGGCAGTTTTCATCTAAACGTATTAGTCAATAATACAGAAATAGCTATTTCTTTAAACTCACTGGTTTTCCAGTAGACGATGGTTTGATGACAGATTGCTTTGGTGTTTCTTCTTCATCGTCATCGTCATCGTCATCGTCATCATCATCATCATCATCATCATCATCGTCATCATCATCATCGTCGTCGTCTTCTTCAAGAGCTAATGGTGATTTGATCTAAAAGTTAGAATGATTTATTTAGGGAACAAAACTTATTTTGATTTTTTATTACTTCTGTTGAAGAAGGTTTTGTTTTGAGGATAGATTTTATTGGTTTTTGTACTTCATCATCATCATCCTGAAAAGCGAACAATGATCATTGTAACATGAACCGGAAACTAAATTTTACAACAATATTTATAAAACTTTCCTGGGCTTCGGAAGCAGATTCACAATTTAGGTTCCACCCTCAAAAAAAAGTCAATTTTTGTGAAAAGCATGAAAATTGAAATAAACGTGTGAGAAGATAACCATAGCTCTGATCTTTCATAAATGACATGATTTTTTCGATCGTGCATCTCAGAATTCTCGCAGCTTCATTATAGTCAATTGCTGGTATTTTGTTTAGAAGGTTATATCAAGATGCAGTGTCTGATAGAGTTCGTTTTTTGAATTAAGCTTCTTTATTCTTATATAAAAAACAACTTATATAAATAGATGGCCATGTTTTGAAAGTTCTTCAAG